CATCATCACATCATGCGGATCATTCACTTTTTACAATTACTTTAAAATATCAGATCTCTCATACCATCTATAATTGATATAACAATTGCATCGCCACTCCCTTTTTACCCTTAATAACTTAATCAGCCATCTAAAAATTAAATGAAATGTGAAGTGTCTTGAATGTTGGTTCAAGCAATTAGAAATTCTTCATTTTAGCCTCTCTAACATCTCTATCTCATTATCTTATTTTATTACTTATTTGAGAATTCTTCAAAATTTAGCTATTGATTGAATTTGCTCAGCAATTCACCAAAAAGATATCCATTACTGAAATCATGCTCAAATGATTTTACCTTCTTACTTAATTGGACTTCATCATTAAGCCACACCATAAGAAGTTACGACATTTTTTTAATTATAATAAAAAATTATCAAATCAAATAACAATTGCATTCAGATTCGTCTTCAGAATATCGTGATATAATTGAAAATCGTAGTCATTCAGTTTACTCTAAGCCAATTCCTCATAATCAATAGGTGAATCTTTGCCATCTCGTAACACTCTTGCAAAGTTGATCAAATATTCTGTTAATACCAATAAGTATGTTTCACTCATATTTTATATATTCCTTTATGCTATTGTCAGATACTCTAAGCAATAATCCTAACAAATTTAGGGAACTCTCTCAATACTAAATTCACATGATAATCTTAATTCTTCTATATCGTGCATAAACAGTACATAAAAATCGTGTTCCCTTTTTAGTTCTGGTAACTCTTTTATTAATTGTTGACTCAAAACTAAAACCCACTTTGATAGACAAAAGGATAGTTTCAATAGTACATTATTGCCTTCGCAAAATTGCAGAATCTCTGACTTATTAACTAATATCTCTTAACACAAATAATGCTTAAATATGATCTCCTACCTTTTCTTTTATTATTCTGGTTAGATTGAGTTGATATTGGATTTGGTATCACATGAGGCACTTACTTCTAAAATATTGGTTTTGCTCTGAGATTGCGGTTGTGGAATTGAGTTTTTATCAGCCTTCATTAAAGGAGATGTATTGACCATCTAGACCACTTCTTACCAATTCGGTCTTCGAAATTCGTCTATAGTCAGTGTCTTCTCTAGGAAGAACATGCTGAATTAACTAATTTTGGCTTATTTCAATTTCTCTATGATTGGTTGATTCAGGATCTTTTTTAATAAGGATTAAGGATCACTAGCTAACCAAGGGAGATTTCCGAAAATCATTTCGAAATAGATGACTGCCAGAGACCATATGTCGCATTTGAAGCAATATTATTAATAACCAAGTAATTGCGGTGCCATGTAATAGGGGGATCCAACCAAAGATTTAAGCATGTTTGTGCTTGAATAATTGTTCACTATTTTGGCAAACCCAAAATCTGCAATTTTGAAAATTCCATTGTTAATCAAAATATTGGCTGGTTTCAAATCTCTATGAATAATGCTATGTTTTTGTAATTCTTTGAATCCTTCAACAATTTGTCTGAGGACATCGAATGATTCTACTTCGCTTAATCTTTTTTAATTCAGCAGTTCTTTTAGATCGCCGTCTTTGCAGTATTCGATAATGATGTAGATGTATTTGGGAGTATCAATCAAATCTATAAATCTAACAATGTTGGGGTGATTGCATTTTTTTAGAATTTCGATTTCATTAATGATCTGTTATTTAATATACTTGTCTTGTTACTCGATGAATTTGGTGTCTATTTATTTGATAGCTACTTGCTCATTGTTTTCAGTGTCTTATCCGAGGAACACTTTTCCATAGGCACCCTCTCCCAAACAAAAGCGAGAATTGAATTAAAACTTGCCAACTTGAACATTCATATTTAATCGTTTTTATAATAATAATGAAGCAATTCATATGTGTGTTGCTATTCTTAGGAGTGATGGGATCTGATTTAGAAAGTACAATAAAAGAAGTAACAACTCAAAAATATGTAGATGAGACAAACAGAATTCGGTCGATCCTTTTTAGAGAAAATACAATTGATAGATCCAGTTGAGAAGATAATCAGGGACATTGCCAACTTTTACAATAGTGTGGACAGAAGATTGGAGGAAGGAGTGCAACAGTTCAAACAATCACAGGAGAAATGCAATTAGGAGATAAAGGAATTGAAGACTAATGATGATGAGTTGAATCGAAAACTAGTAATCAAATAAACTATAATATATAGAGAGATATTCAAATAACCAGGGCACGTAAATAACCTCGTTATGATCTAATAATCCATCGATTTCATCAGAAAAATAAGATGAGACAAGAACTTGATCACTAAGAAACCAGATATATTGAATTGAGAGAAGCAGAATAATCTTTTTTCAATTACAATCAAGATTAACTGGATAAAGCTATGGTGGTTATAGTGGAAATCAGGAATAAATTTATTGCTTACTTGTCGTTGAGATAGAATAGACAGCGAAAGGCTGCAGTTAGAGACAATTAGTACTGGGATGACGATGAAACTCCATTTAATGATGATGATTATGATGAAGAGGAGGAGGAAAGACAACATAATGAGAAGTATGCCTTCATTCAAATTATTGTGGCTATTTAAAGAGTCAAGACTGGATTAGAAATGGTATGAGTATACATATTACATTCAGAATGGAGTTACTCAATTGGTTTAAGGCATTGAGGATTTATGTTAGCAGATGCATGATATCAAGGAAGGAAACATTATCTATGATGATTCAGAAGAAACTCTCAACAAATTGGCTAGCTAAGTCATTGATATCACATCAAGTGTTTTAGATTGGATTGCCTAAGTGAAGAGGAGGGAGGAGAAAGCTGATGATAGCAAAGGAGATGTAATTATCTAGACCTTGAAATTGATTAACAAACAAAAACAATAGGCTGATCTAGAAATCGCACAATTAGGCAATGAATCTGCTGCCTTAAGTTAGCAATTGAGTTCTTTGGAGTAGAGTGAGGATTTGACCAGATTTTCAATTAACAACAGCAAAGACTTACTCTAAACAAAGATTGAAATGTGCAATGATTAGGAGGCAGCTTATAAGATGGAAAAAAGATAACTGTAAATTGTTGATTGACATTAGGGAAGAATAATTGAATACTGTTGGGTTACTGTTGGAGGCTATGGAATAGAAAGGAGGATAGTTTAAGAGAGTTATGAAGACTTTGGAAGGAGTGGCCGATTACAAATGATTCTGCATCTAGATATAATAAATTATTTAATTATAAATTAATTATGGAGCAAAACATTCCTCATCAGTTGGTTATTCGGAACAAAAATGGAGTGTATCTTTCCAATATGTTGGCAAAGTCAGATGAGGAAATGCAATTGATTAATTAGGATGGTAATGCCTAATTGATCCTTATGGAAAATCATATAGTCATGTTCAATAAGTAATCCATCAAGCTCCATGATTATAAATAATAAGCGAAGGAACTGGAATTCACGAACTTGTAGAATATTCACCTTACAGAATCTAAATAAAATCTTATTGTTATGGATAAATTAGATTAATAACAATATCAATTGCAAATCTTAAAGTTTCCTTCATTGGAATCAAAGGGTATCAATTTCAACTTTAAAAATTTCAAAAGAGAAGCTTGGCCAATCTTAAAATTTTCATTTGAAGATTAATACTTTTTTATTATTCAAAATTAAAAGTTACATTGTTATGCAGATAATTAATTTGTCTATTAAACTGATATTGGAAATTGCGAATATTTTAGTGTTTAACCTAATACTCAAAAACCGTTGGTTGTTTGTTATAGTTTGATGGATTTCAATATTAAGGAATCTTATTTAAAGATAGTTGACATCAATGGCAAAATAAAATATGAAAAGAAATTGCATTAAACTAGTGATTTGGAAGTGATTTGGTCACCAAATGGATAATCTTTATTGATAAATAAAGGGTTCCATGAAGACAATACAAATAAGAGTTATTTTGGATAAAATTAAGTTTTGTTCTATGATTTCCCTAAAAATGCTCTCAGAGAATTGCCAACTTATGAAGGACCCATTCATCATGTTTAATGGTCACCATCCTCTAAAGAATTCATCTTACTATCCGGTTTCATGCCATCTGGGGCTGTTATGTATGACAATACTTGTAAACCACTGTTTGAATTCGGAAAAGATCATAAGAATAAAATTATTTGGGGAAATGGTAGATTTGTCATGATTTGTGGATTTGGAAATCTTGATGGTTCCATTCATATTTGGGATGCTAAAACTCTTAAATAAGTAAGTACAAACAAATACAAATCAGCTAGTTTATGTCACTGGTCACCATGTAGTCGATATTATGTTTGTGCAAAAGTAACACCCAGAATGAATGTAGACAATTAATATTCACTCTTTGATTATCATGGTAAAGAAATAATCAATAGAAAATTCTTGGAATTATATGATGTTTAATTTAGACCTTCAAATATTAAATTTGAGGAAAGACCACCTACTCCTCCTAAGCAAATTCAGTAAGAACCACCAAAAAAATAATTCATTGCCTTTGCTGACAATCCACTTGCATAATAAATGAGAGCTATGAAGGCAGGAGAGGGTGCTAGAGTATTACAAGTTGATGAAACTTTTGGAAAATAATCTAATAATTTCCCTCCTGGCTATGAGCCTCCAAAAGAAAAGAAGAAAAGAGTAAGAAAGCCAAAATAATAGTAATAATAATGATGATTTATCATATAAATCTAGAATAATCTATTTCTCTTATTTCTTCCTTCTATATATATATATATATAAAAATAAACTAGTAGGTTTCAATTATCTATAGATAGTAGAGATTTTTTATTAAGAACAAATTCTAATAATAAGAATAATATTTTTGATATTTCTATAAAAGGAACTAGCATGGAAATCCATCAATTATGTTTTAATCTTTGTTTAACATTATTATGAAAATTTTCTTATCATCGACCACTCTAGTATATTAATTTGTGAATTTCTATATTCAATCAGATCTGAAAATTCTTATAAGAAAAAAGAACTAAAATGTACATAATAATTTATTAATAATAAAAATTGTAATCAATTAATTAACATAACCAATCTTATGTAAAGTTATTAAATTATTAAGCAAGATATTTGAGATCTCATTTATAAGTTTGAAATAATAGAACAATAGTGTTAATGTGGTTTATTTATAGCATATATATACCTTTGATATAGATAATTTAGATGTTATTTTATAATCTTTCTTCCATGTTTTTTCAATTAACTAATAAATGAATGTCATATATTATATTTATTCGTAAATTAATATGTATTTTGCTAAAGGGATGTAGAGTAGATATAGATAAGCAAATCATAAAGTAACTGAGAATCAGAACCTTATATAATAAGAAAATAGAGTTGAACATGAACTAGCGACATTTTGATTATAAATTATTGTATTATTATTTTAAAAAACGAATTAATGATAGTTGCCTTATTTATTACAACTGCATTAGCTCTATAGATGAATGAGCAGGCCACACTCACAACGGAAGCTCAAACTGCTGTTAGAGAATTTGTTCAATCTGGTCCATTAGGGAAGATGATGTTCGAGTTTGCTTAAGTAGAGATGCACGTAATAAGCTTTATCAAAAATTAGAGGCTTCTGGTGCTGTAGACATCTTGATTGAAGTTCTCAAGGCTTTTGGTCGTCAATAAGAAGACAGATTGAATGATGAGAATACTATTGTAATAATGGCTATTTAATATAGTGGTAAAATAGACTTGGAGATCATAATGCTCGTAGAATTCAGTATGAGTCACTGGTAACAGAAGGGGTGGATTAGCTATTAATAGGGATAGGAAAAAATTAACCCTAAGAATATGAACCTAGAAAAGAGGAACTCAATGAAATTTTAACAACTTTGAAAACAAACATGGGCAAAAATGAAGTTGCTAAAAAGAATGCAGAAGCATTGAGAGCTGAATAGAATTCATAATTCTAACAACAAGCAAATGAAATTACTGAAGCTATTAAAGCAACTGATGACACTCTAGAATACATCAAGAGATGCAGTCAGGGTTCATTTATTGAAGTTGACAAAATTAATGATCATCTTCTTTTCTTGTAAAAGAAATCATCTAAATCTACTGATTATGTTGGATCAATAATCTAGGCATTAATGTAAATTAGTGAAAAGCAGAACTTTGCTGATAGAGAGGTTTAAAAGTAATTGGTTGATCTATTGTAATCATTGAGAGGCTATTTTGTGGAAACTTTATAAGCAGCCTACAATGATGAGGATTAATAGAAATTATTGCATGAAAATAGAATGAATCAATTAGAAAATGAAAAATAAGTATTTGAAAAACAATATAGTGATGCTTATGCTGAAAGAGAATAAAGATCATGTAATATATATTTATTCTATTTCTTAGTATAAATCGAAGATACCAATAGATTATTAGATACAAGAGGCAAAGAATTAGCAGGTTATTAAGATCGATTGACTACTGAAAACAATAATTTTTCTTAAAATCAAAAGATTCATGATGATCTAGTAGCAGCTATTAGTGGAGAAATAGGTTTTATTGAAAAAGCATTAGATGTTTTGATGACCTAAGCGTTTTCTGATGAACTCTAATCAGCTATTAATAAAGCTAAATGAAATATATTCAAATCAAAAATATTTATTATTTTGTTATATTCAATTAAAGCTTATGATTAAATTATTCAAAACCTATAAGATTTCAAATTAGATAGGAATTGTAATTAGATTTAGTTTCAAAATTCGTAATAACTTAAAATTATATAATCATCATGAAAATTCTGTGTTACAAATTGGACATTTTTTTGTATAGTTCAACCAATTCTAAATACATTGCTAGTGAAAAATATGAGAAACGTGACACTTTAATTGAACTATAGGATTCTGTTAAGAATTATATGTAAGTTATTGTAAACAAATTGTGCAATCTGATTTTTCTTTGAGTTCTACTTTGAAGATAAAATTTTTATTGACATTTTAAATAGGTATTAGTTATGGTAGATTATTTTGAACATTATTTATGGGATCAACATTTACTCTTTGGTGAGGTTACTACTATTGTACGTCAATTTATTAGTTCTATCTATTTTATATTTATCCTTCTTAATTTACTTATATCATATTACTGGTATATTGATCAGTAAAAAATGGAATAATTAAATATTTTAAAAGCATCAATCCTAGAAATATTAATTAAGTTATTCCACACTCATATTCCAAGAAGATATCATAATTTATTATTACATCATCTTTTTCCATCTCATTAGAAAACTCTGATATTCCAACAATTGTGAATATCAAGGATGTTATTAAAAAGAGTTTAAATAGTTTATTTTACTAGTTGCTCCTCCTTAAAATTTAATCTATTAATACTTAATAATCGATGAACTATAGGAGACGAATATTTTGATAACTGTTTTCTATAAATATCTAAGATATAATATTACCTGCAGAAAATAAATATAATAATGACAAAGTGAATATTATCATAAAAAAATGATAAAATAAATTTGATGAAATTAGAATATATGAAGAAGCATTTGGAGTTAAAATTATTATTACCAACAAAGCTATAAATTTACCTAGATTATTAAAAAGTAGGATAAAACAAAATACTATTATTTAAATTGTTACTTAAGCAATATCTAATCAATATAAGGAATCTATACTTTGGTTTTGGGGATCGTGCTAATATGAAGGCCAGATACATTATTAGCACGCCAAATAAATTCTTTATGAAATGCTTAAGCCTTCATAAATTATAATTGTGAAGAAGACTATTTCACATGATATTCCTAATTCATACAGCATGGGTCCTTAAAACTTAGCAGGTATCTTATCTCTAACGCAATCATCATAATATTAATTTTCATCTAAATGATCAGTCTCATAAGGACGATCATTTTTACTATCTTAACATGCATAATAAGTCTTATCTTAAATATTTCTGGTCAATAAGAAAATTGCTACTACACAGTATAAATATGTTAATCTGATGAGAGTAAATTTTGACTATGTCGTAAATTAAAATAGTATGTAACTTGCTGATAAATAAACCCAGTCATTCATCTGAATTTCATTTTGGATTCTAATGTTATTCGTTTAAAGTTATGAAAATTATTGTTTTATATACATCATACATCCAAAAAGTGTTGTTAACAAAAGTATGAGTAAAATGCCTAAATAGACTACCTATTATTATTCATTATTTTTGATAATTGCAATAATCGATATAATTAAAGTAGCAAGTATCAAAAGCATTACACAATATAGCAAATATCGAATGCGAGAATTCCATTTATTTTATTATAATGATGCTTAAGTTTACAATCTTTACCCAGGTTCAGAATCCCTTTGATTACTTTAAAATTATAGAAAATTTATGAATACCTATCTTACTATTAAAACCTTGAGCTCCTTCGCATGAATTGCCAAATAGAATTATAAGAGTAATAAATATATAAATATAACTTCATAACTTAGTATTAACATTTAATTAGTCATTTTTCGTATTAAATAAAGATAAACTTAGTGAATATTTAATTATTCATATTTATTTTCTTGATTAAAGTAATAAAAATAATAATACTAAAGTTACAGCGCTTAATTTTAAAATATATTTTTTATAATAATTATTTTGATTAATTATTAAATTTATAATGCAATTGAAAAGAGGGTTATCCATATTTAAACGATTTGTTATCCTAAAGATAATTATGATTTTTTTTAAATTAACTTCACGCTTATTTATTTATTAAAAATACACTTTATACTATTAACTTTAAATTAATAGTAGTTATCTCATTATATTGAAATTAAATTTATAATATTATCTCCATTTACTGTTTAATCTAATTATGATATCAATCAACAGTTCATTAAAACGTTAAAAGGCAATCTATATACTATTAAATATTCGATTTTTATAAAATTTTAATGATTCTGCAAAAATTATTTAAAGGTAAGTTATATTCTAAACTGACACAAGGTCTTAGACAATATATGCAAAAAGATTAATTTGGGCCTGATCTTATGTTTAATAAAGAGTTGCTTTTCAGTTGAATAGTAATTAAATTTCTTTTAAGCTCAATAAAAGTGGGAACGCAAAAACTTAATTTTTTTACCTTCATGTCAATTGAATAAATGATTTTAATTTGAGATAAATTCTTGAGTTTATCTAATGATACAAGGAATAACTTTAATAAATGCGTAATTAGCGTTAGAATATTCTCTTCAATAAGAGATTTTATAAATGGAATAAGAAAGTATTTCAGATAAGTAGCCTTAATATAGAACTAAGTAGAGTTATGAAATAATAACAGCATATGACTTAAATTAATCTTTTGCTTATGATTGATTTTATATAAAAATTATAAAAATTTGATATAAGATAAGCAAGAGTTTATAACATTTGTGAAATATTATGAAGATTATATATTTTTTTTAAAATGTATGACCAAAATAACCCTTTGCAAGTAATACAGCTTAGCGGTAACAAGGTCAATTAAGGATAAAACATGACTTATGAATGCTAATTATCGACATTGTTGGGCTACGGAATAAATAGAGCATATGTTGGAGTTGATAATTTTGGCAACAAAGTAGCTATAAAAGAAGTATTAATGATTTGATTCAAGCATCACAATGAAGAAGCGATGAAAAAAGAAATTTAAATATTAGAATAACTCAATCATCCAAATATAGTGTAATATTTAGATTCATGCAATTTATTCCATTAAACCAATCAATATCATTCAGAATGGAATGGTTATATCTGCATGGAATTAGGTATCTACGATTTGTGTACATACAAACAAAAAAAATTTTCAATTGGCAAGGAATTAGTAGATTAGATGTTGAGTGCATTAGCTTATTTATAAAAATAAAAAATAGCCCATTGCGATATTAAGCCTTAAAATATTCTAGTTATGTAAACAAATCCTATTGTTTTCAAAATATGCGATTTTGCATCTAGCAAACTGGAAGAATCAGAATTGACAGAAAGATCAGAAATACAAAAAGCTTAAAAAGAATAAACACGATCAAAAAAATAGAAGAAATCATATGAAAAAAGTTTTGTTTAGATTGGGGTACAAAGTAGCATTTATTTAGACTAATTAATATATGTCTCCTGAAATGATCAACAAAAATGTCTAAAACTATTACTTATCTGATGTTTTTTCTTTGGGATTAGTGTTTTTATATGTTTTTAGGGATTACAGTCTGAATTAAGTAGACAGAGAATTACTAAAAGAATAAAAATTTAGTTAAGAAATACAAGATAAAATAAATGAAAATGAAGATGATATTCAAAGAATTCTAAATTAAATGATTTAATTTGATCCTCAAGATCGATTAGACTTTGTAAAACTTCTGGATTTTTGGAATCAAAATAAAAAGAAAGTCAAAAAATAAGAATATAAATTGACACCTGTTAGAATGAATAGTACAGAATCAAGATTTTTAACGATTTAGCAAATTCAGAATTAGAGAGCACAGGTTTTCAGACTACCTTAATTAATAATTAAGAGAGGCTAAAGAAATTAATATTCTCAACATTATTAAAGTTCAACTCCTTAAAAAGATAATTTAACTATTGATAGGGTTGGACACTCGTATTCAAAACCAAAAAAATTGTAATAACTCTCTCCCTCTAATAATTATTTTATAAAGCCTCCTAAAACTCCTCTTAAATCAAAAACTTCAAGTCCTACAAAGAGTATGATGAGTAATAAATTATAATAAACTCAGCATAAAGAAGAAAAAAATACTTTTTCTATAAAGTTAATTTAAGGAATATGAATTATTCACATTTTTTGATAGATTATAATTTAAGGATCAAAAACATTAATAATTGTTCATTAATTTTGAATATCATTTTCTTCTAAAATTTATCCTTCTTATTATAATAATTGTTATTATTATTATTATTACTATTATGGTTATTCTTATACAAATTTGATTGTTTTTGCTCTAACTCTCTTTTCGAATTTCTCTCTGTCTTTTGGATCACTATCATTTGAATTTTCAGTCCTTTTTAATTGCATAGCATCATCAACATCATCATATTCTTTCTTTATAAATAACAATTCTGTAGCCATTTCATCATCAGGTACTTTATATTAACTTAGTAATCCATTTATCTTCACCCATTACTTTTCTTCTTCCTTAAGACGTGCTTTACATATTTCACAAAGCATTTAAAAATCAGTTCTATTGTTACACTTTGAGCATGGTTCTATTGTGATCTAGAAATCTAATTTAAAGAATAGTGTACAATGACTTTAAAATTTTTATCAAATCTTTCGTCCTTAATTATCTAACTTGGATCCAAGTCTTGTAATGAGAATTCCAGAGAACTTTAAAATATTAAGTATAAAAATACTTTTACGCAGTCTCATCAATGAATGCTGTATTGAATGCTAATCTAAACATTTTCTCTTTTTTCAAGATTCCTTCGTTAAAGACTTTAATTAAAATATCCCCATAAATTGGCATTAGTTTGTCTAATTTGAGCTTTAATTCACATAAATTTAATACATCATGAGAAACCCCTTTATACTTTTTTGCTTCTTTTTATGTGGAATAAAGTTCTTTATCATTTTTCACTTAAATTACTTGCATATATGGCTTACAACTGCCATTCATATTAAAAGCAGGTGCTCTGTAAATTTAAATAATAATCTTACTTTCCCTAAAATGTGATTCTTTTGAGAGTAACGACTGTTGGATAAATTATATAGCCCAAAGTCAAAAGTTTATAGAAGTATTCAACATATTTCACTTAACAAGGTTGATTGACTCCCAGACCCTCCTCTTCAAATCTCTTCTTCCCATAATAATAGAGCACATCCTTCACGCTCTTGAATTTGCCTGTATAGAGTAAATAACAGCAGATAATTGTGCCTGTTCTGCCTTTGCCAGCAAGACAATGAATAACCACTACATTAATTTTGTCGCCTATTTGTTAATATAAATCTCACCTTTCAAATAACCATGAATAAGATCGCAGATCTCAAACAAAAGATCCAAAGGGGGAGAATGATGATCTTTCCATATCCAACAATCCTGTACCACTCCTCTGAATTTTGAAAAGTCGTATTTTCGACCACTTAAATTGAAAACCATATAATCTGCATTATGTTATGTATTTAAATAACCAGCAACCTAATTATAATAAAGGTATCACCCACCTAATCTATTGGATTTCGATATAAACCTTCTATTCCTTCCCCAGGATAACTCATCGCAATTATCCTTTTAGTCACGTACGTAAGATCAAGATTATATCCTTCCTATATTAAACGCTTCTTTTTTCCTGAGACCTTCTCTCTTAAGTAATTCATTTTAATATTAAAAATATAAAATCAAATACGAATCATTTCCAATAGATTATGCAATTAGATATTCATTTTCTTTTGAACTTCAATTATCAATTCAAGAAACTAATAGAAATCGATTCGTTGAACTTAAAATTTGCAAAACAAAATTTGATATTCCACTCTTTAAAGATTCTCATTCAGCATCCCTGAAAAGTTACTAATTTTACAAAACTAAGAAATTGACAAGGTTTTTATTCCTTTCCCACAATACCAAAACAAATTCAACAATTCAAGAACCGAATTATTGACTAGTTAATATTCATCGCTTAATAATTTATAAGATGTATCCTTCCATTCTTTTTATTGAGTAGAAATCAGAATTGCGTCAGTGACAACTAACTCTTTAACATAAAAATCAAAGGGAGAAATTTCTTCTTTACTATTTTTGAATTAAGTTATTTATAAACTTGGGGCTGAATTCATTTCTAATATGAAGGGTTAACCTTGGTTGTTTAATAAAATATCTAGACCAATAATACAAAAATTTTGAGAATATTCAGGCTTATCACTTTTTGAATGATAAAGTAAGAATGGATAAATGGCTTTCATGAATTGAGCTATTACATTTTCGATATTTTGAAATATCGCTTAATCATCTTATCCTTGTTTTTATAATTATTATCGAAATGCTTAGAAACTCTATTTGTTTGATTGATTATCAGTCATAAAGTCCGTTGAACAAGGGACATAATTAGTGCTTTCACAATTGATTGCATAATTTGTTAAATGAGCAAATTGATTTTTATTAGTTTTTTCATAGGCATCAACACATATTCTAACCAGCCCTTCTTTATTCAAATAACAAATATAGGGACTTAATTTTTAAATGAGAATGTAAAATCTAAGATCGAATTTTTTATTATCTATAAGCATGGGGTTATCTATATATTTCTAAACAACCATCTGCCCTAGGTCTGCTTTTTTGATTAAATCATTCATACTATTAGGGAAGAATATCCCTTTTCCTTCAGATCCATTTGATGGCTTAGCAATGAACTAATTGAGATTTTTAGAATACAAGAGATTTCTGTCTTAAGGATAAATGTAGGTTTCAGGGTAAATTTAATTAATTTCTGGGTAGAACATCCCAAATGAGGACAGACACTACTTTGTGGAAGCTTTTGAACTAACAATACCAACTCCTTTAATCCTGTTGCAGATTTATAATCTGGGTCTATCCATTGAAAATTTAGAGCACTTATCCTTTTTTCTTTAATTCCAAACAATTTTGGCTTTTGAATGTTATTCTCCACAATCAATCCAATTCTATTTTTCAATAATCTTTTTTAAAAGAGTCCTTTCACTACCCTTAACATTTGATATATCAAACTTTAGCATATTATATATATATTAACAAATTAATATTAGATCATCTAGATTAATATTAAAATTTATATAACTTTATAAAATAATACTTCATATTGGATTTATTATTAAAACATTGTAATTGATTATGTCTGTAGAATATGTTACTTATCAACTAATTCTGAATCAAATTTAAAACCTATTATATTATAAGTTTTATTGGTAAGTAACTTATTGATATCAGCTAAAAAGAAAAGGGTTTTCTCCTCTTAGTTTTTATATTAAGAATTATCATTTAATGGTTGCTCTGACTTTCTTTTACTTTATTGATGAGATAGGCCTTGTTAATAAATTTAATTTAACCCTATCTTTTTTGTTAAATATAGAAATAATGTTATTTTTATTTTTGATTTCTACGCTTTCTCTCTTCTTTAACTGTTTTAAATACTTTCTGTACAATTATTGAATTATATCTTATCATACTTTCCATCAAGTTATTTATCTAACACATTTTAAGGGTTAAAGTAAAATCTCCTATGATCTAGGTTTATTTAGATAATCTAAATAAATTAAATTACTAAGGGCAAACTTAAGTTCTTTAATTTAATAAAAAAATGATCACTTACTGAGTTTATGATGCATAAAATTAGAATTTAAATTATTTTCTAAGTGACTTTTTTTAATAATCTTAAAATTACTAAATTTTATAAATGGAGGGATAATAGTATCAATACTTGATGGCAGATGAGTACTTCTTAGAAAATAATGAATCTTATTCATCATTTTCACTAGGTGATATTTAATTTTTAGTCAATTTAAATGATTTTGAAGCTCCTATTTTTCAACCCTCCAAAATTCATAATCCATATGTTAGTTTGGTTGGGAATTATTGCATGGCTGGTATTATGATTATTGATAGAATGTTTAGATTCATCTATTATTTTCATCAACAAAGTCGACCCAATATTTGTTGCTATTCGAGTACTAAGAAATAAATTAGCAAATTAATAATAAGAGAATAGTATTGAATTTGAGAACATTTTCAATGGTGAAGATACATTTGAAGTTTACTTAAGCAAGCACAAGCAAATAAGATAGAACATTGATTGCATAAGTAACAAAAAGGAGATTGGCGATGAAATATATGTCAAGTTGGATAAAGGAAAGCTATTCTAATTTTTAGATGTTAAATACAATAGTATTCGTCAATATTCCCAAAAAAGTGTGTACTTTGTAGATGATTGCAATTAAAAAAAATAAGATGGTATACATAGATATTATAAACTTAGAATCTGAGTTAAAGATTTGCGATCTCTTTAAATAATATATCGGAGAATAGCTATATAATGACTATTAGGCTACTAAAAAGATTGTTATAGCCAATTAGACCTCAAAATTTGAATTTCATAATGAACAAAATGGAAGTAATATTAGAGAAGACAAAGAAGTAATCACAAAAAAGACATAATCTAATTCCAAGAGAAATTAGGAAACCAATGAAAAATAGGTCAAAAACAATAATATCTTAGATCAATACTTTAAAAAAATAACTAAGTAACCAGAATAAGAGAAATGATCAATAGTTATTTTTAAGATATGATTTTGTTATTAGTAGTATTTAATATTATGAAATTCACATTTGCTTATATGTAATTCTAATATAATTAATTGTAATTATATTGTTCTTTATATTTTCTATAAAATAATACTAAAATTATAATTTATAACCCCTAATTTTTATTAATTATATATTTTTGTTTTTGGGTTTCTAAGTAGAAGACCAGAAACAAAGGAGAACTCTGAGGAATAAGGGAGACGGGGCTTATCCTGAGTCAGGAATAAGGGAGGTGGAAATGATTTGGATGCAAAATAGTGAAGCTTAATGTATTCACAATAATTTGAAAGTTCATCGATAGAATCATGTTTCTTATTCTTCTTTAATTTCAGGGAGTTGGTGGAGGAAGGAGCTATAATAGGTTTGCATGCTTGATTATTGTTAGATATAGGTGCTTATATTTATGGGCTATTAAATTGGTAAACAAAAATACATAATATGGTGAAGGAAGTGGTTGAAAAAATAATAATTACTCAGGTTTAACCAAGATGGCACCATAACCGTTATTTTAGTCTATGTTTTAGGATGTGAAAGATGATATTTATTAATACATTAATTGTGTAGGATGATATGTATTATGATGAAATTGAAATTTCTAATATAGTTTTTGCAAGGGACATGATTTCATTGTGAAAATCGGAAGTTGAAGCTATATCCTTTGGAGGAGGATCTATTGAATATAGAACAATTAGAGATACATGGTCAATATTCAGTTTTTTGAGTTTGGTTTTCAGTTTTAGATTTTTGGATCTACTTTTGGAGATATTTTTCTTCTCTATATGATGATTGTAGGATTCACTAGATTAGTTAATATAGGTACTTTAATTGTTGTAACGTTTGAAAAATGGATTTAATTTTATCGGTGTCTTCGATATCAATTTATTAGGATAGGTTATAATTTTTGTATTTAAGAATAATATTTCGAAAGAGCTGAGCAAATTCAACTTTTATGGCACCATTATTTGCATTTTGATTAACGCAAAAAATAGAGGAAATAACAGAGGGTTTAAGAGTTTTAGTCATTTGGGATCCTTTTAAAGTAAATTCATATATCTACCATTCTTATCTCCATTAACCGTTTTGGAAAGACGCCTTAGAACTTTTCGAACCAATGAGTAAAAATAATTCTTGATTAAACCATCTGTTCTTTATGGCAACTCCTTGGATATACTCCTCTAATTAAGTATATTTTAACATTATTACCCATCGATTACCATATTTGCTTTGCAATTCAAACAGTTTGTCCACTTCATTTTGAGTCCATTGATCTTTGTTGACAACAGGATTTAACTAATTATGGAATCTCTCCTTGCACGATTTACCTGATCTTCTATAACCCATGGAGATCATTATTTTTGAAACTCTCCTCTAATTATAATTTTAAGACTTGCAGATTTCAAGCAAAGCCTTATCCTCCTAGTTTAAAATTATTAAATAGTATACTTCTGGTCTCCAATTCTTCCTTCTCATAATTAATATATATATATATATAATTATATAGATAATAGACTATTCAACTCATCTTGATTGCAGCTAATTGTTCTTTCAAAGCAGCTAATTATAGTTGTAATTATAATAATTCAGGACTTGTTCTCATCGATACTTTAGGAGTATAAACTGGAGCAGGCATATTATTTCCATACATCATTTTTTTGAGCTTACGAAACCTATATGAATAAGATAATGGGGATAATTTACATTTTAGATACCTGTTTCATTCCAATCATTAATCATTTTTTGTCTTTCAATAGAATTTCTACGACTAGATTCTCTACTACTACTGCTTTTCTTTTTTTTGCTTTTCTTCTCCTTCTTTTTATTTTTCTTGGGACTCTTTCTAAACATCATAACAATGTCTTACTCAGTATTGACTTCTTTCTCCTTTTTCTCTCTATATTCTGGATGCTCTTCATACATTTGATTGAACAAACTCTTCTTAAATTTGGTGGATATCTTCTTTAGATGTAAATAATTGCATGCTCCACCTCTTAAAGTCATTAATTTCTAATTCCATACCTTTAACATGTCCCATCAATATATTATTTGCATTTAGCACTGCTAAAATCTAATACAGGCGAATATTCCATCTGCAATGGTCTATTTTCATATGATAGATTCTAAAGAGCATTGAAGCAGGACTCTGCAAACAATTCAGATGTATATTTCACATACACATTTCCTACTAAATGATCACCAATGTTTTCGCATACTATCAAATCCTCAATTTCACCAAACTCTGCTAACTTAACATAATTATCCACTTTTACTTTCAAAAATACATCTTCATAAAAGTTTTCGAATTTCTCCAATGCCTCCTCAATACCCGCTTAAGACACTGCATTTCCTGAAGCTATTGCCACTTCCATTGGAGAGTTTTAATACATATGCTGACCATTATATCACAATTCCTTACTTTAAATAAAATTGTCTAAGAGATTGGAGGGATGCTATGGATTCTTTAACATTTATTTTCATAACGACAGGCTCCAATTTTGATATAAAATGAGCAATTCACCTAAAATTAGAGGTGTTAATCATACTTTGTCTTCTTCTGTTCCATACACTCTTTCCAGTCCGCCTGCCATTTAATAAATAATTATATATTTATATTTTAGTAAGAGTGAACGCCAATTATAATATTTTCATAATTGTGTAAAAATATTTATAATAATATTAAGTGTCATTAATATTCAATATTTGTGATAATTGACTACCTTAAGTTAATAATAAAGTGAAATTTACGTTGACTTTATCAATAGATATAATATAATAATAAATAATTAAAAATTTGGAAATGCAAGCCATCCATTTTCAAAATATCTAGCATAATTTCACGTATCTTAAAAATTTGAGACTAAAAAATCAATTACTCATTTTGATTAGCTTTTAGATTATTTTCATCGTGACTTTCCTTGTTTGTAGCAACTACATCCACACAACCTTTATTTAGCTATTTTTTGCTGAGTCCTCTCAATAAATTTACCTCAAGACCTCGAATTCAATGCTTAAAACATAATTAAATGAATATAATTCATACTTCACTTCGTTGTTTCATACTAGTAAATATATATATTTATAATTAGATGGGCAAACACTGATTTCATTCTTCTAACTTTACACATATCTCAGAAATAAAACATAGACACATCTTGATTCTCTAAATCCTAAGTTTGACATGAATTACGGAGGTATCAATGCCAAAATACCTAAATCAATTTAATCAAAAAGAATTGGTGCTTACAACACCACCATCTCCTGTCTATGTTATACCAACACAACTAAATTTCATCAACCTTATACACACGAAGAACTAATTAACATTAAAACTCAGGAATCGATGTAAAGTTTCGGCATGGTTATTTTCCAGGGTAAAACCACATTGTAATCGTTTCTCTATGGATATGTAAAAAGAGATAACATTTTAATGACCTATCCATGTTTACAAAGACACGATATTGCTAATTATATTCCTGAAAATAGAACTTGGTATATAGAAGCCAAAAGAAATTTTTAAGCTCACAAAGTTTTTGATAAATACAATTTTTCGATAACTTATCCCTATTTACGTAACTAAAAATTAAAATTAATTTAGTATTTAAGTCAACAAGCGTAGGGTTATCTATGGCGATACCATTTGTCGATAGGAATCTCTCTTTTATTGGAACTGGTGCCTTTGATTTGATTCCATCCAGCTTATTAAAAGAAGTCACTTAATAATTTGGCAGAGATTTCACTTCTATATTTCTTGCATCATTAGATGGAATATTGATTATGCACCCTTTCAATATCACCTTTGATAAAATACCACTTTATTTCTACAATCAATCTATAACTGGGTTTGGCTTAGAAGATTGGTAAGGCTTGTCCGATCCTTTATTCAAATCAAATTGCCAGAATTAAACAACAACCATGGATTTTAAGTGTCTATATAACTCATTTTATAATTAAGACATGTTCGTAAGTTAATAAATATTGCATGAATTTAATATGTCTGTCATAGTGTAAGTTATCTATTTATATTTTAGATTGGTTAGCAGTTCAGAATTTAATAAGTTTTCTGATGAATTCAATTCTAATTTGATCTCAAAATTATAGATTACATTCTCAAATTCAATAATTGAATAAGCAAGTCTGTTTGTATTCCTGTGTTTTCTAATTTACTTTATGATTTCATATTTGTTCTATCCAATAGAATTAATCATAAATGCAGCCATGAATTAAATTCAAAAGAAAAAGTACCAAAACAAAAATTTGAATACAATATTATAATCCCTATTAAGCGTCTAGATTTTAGACCTCTATAGATCATGCTAACATTTTAATAAATTATTTGAGAGGCTCTCCTTCAATAAAAATGAATAGTGTTAAAAAATTGAAAATCTATAATATCCCTAACAGATAGAAGAAATTAAATTGTGTTGTTTTGTAGATCATAAGAAATTTAGAAAGCTAGATGTATTATTTCTTGTTAAAAAAATAGTTTAAATTACGAAATCAGTCAAATGACAATTTTAATTTAGTGAAATCGTTTATCAAATAAGCCTATTTTAAACTACGACTCAAGTGAATTTTGATTACTATAACTTTTTTTTTTTTCATATAGTTATATCATAAAAATTGATAAATAATAAAAGTATTTTTCAAATCCTCACTGCTTTTCCAACTTAAGAATCTGCTCTTTAATGATGTAACAATTTGAGATGTAAATTTTTGAATGATTAATTTTGCAGCATTGGATTCTCAACTGGTATACCTTATCTTTAGGTTGATTCTCCTCTTTCCCCTTTATCCTTTTTAAAAGCTTTCACTTATTGTTTAAAAGTGCATGTATTAAATGATTTATCATTCACTAACTCGTCTAAGCCTAAACTTGGTGTTCTCTTTGCGCTAGTATTCCCAATATTATTCACATAATTTTTCAATCTATCAAAGGCATCTATAAAAATAGTTATAACTCTTACTTTATCCATTCTATGAATCCAAGTTAATTGTTACTTTTGGTGCTTCATATTTACCCAAACCTAATTTACCCATAAAATTTGATAATTCGTCCTTTCTTTTATAGGGCTTAACATTGTCTTTGACTTCAACCGTAAAATTCATTGTTTGTTATACTTTAACATTGAGATAAGTATTTTCTTTCTTTGTCTTTTGGCCTGAAGTCCCGATAAATTATGAAGAAGGACTTGCTTATATAAAACCAAATCTGGCATTTGGAGATTTGCCATTAGATAATTTGACATTGACTTGTGGAACTTATGAATTGAGATAGGTTCCTCCATTTTTACCACTTCCATTCTCAGTCAAAACCTCTTAATTGAATTTATTTGGAGTATTAAATTATTATAACAAAGTATCAAATGTTTTAGTCTTTGATTTTTGAGTTTAATCATTACTAACCTTAGTATTAGAAGTGTTATTTGTTGGGTTCGAAGGGAGTTCTTATTGATTATATCTTTCTTTGAAAGGAGTTCTTCGATTGAATAAATCAGTTAGATCTTCTAATGTAGCTGCACTCTTAAATTAATCTAACAATTCCATGTAATTGTTTGCCACTACCGGATGATCTGGAATGACGACTTCTTCTTTTTATACAACAATATCTGAGTTCTTTACTCTGAGTTCTTAATTCTATAAATAATCTAATTTTTTTTGGGATTAGATTTCTTGTTTCGAAGGGTGTTAATCTAAATTAATTGTATCAGCAAATTTCAAGCTAAAATCATATTTAAAAGAAACAGCAGTTTAATTGATTGGTTCTTATTTATAAAGAGTTTCATTGAGTTACATTAATTATTCTGGATCTTCTTCTAATTTTACCTCCTATTAAGTTTATTCATTCTATTAATCAGAAATTCCTTAAGAAACTTATTGTTATAAAGTGACATCTTGTGTTTCGATTGGTTTAATCTCTACTTTATTTAATACAACCTAGTCTTCTTAAGGATTTAAGTTTTGCTTATTACTAATTTCTATTTTATTAATGTTTGTTTCAATTTTTATTGATTATTGTGGTGCTTCAGTGTAGCCTGCTTGTACAGCCATAGCTTTGAATGCGTCAAACTTATTTTTATATTTATCAATTAAATCTTTTGATGATCTTGCCCAAGTGTTGAGAACTTTGGATTCTTAAGGTTGTTCTTATTAAAGAGAGGAGTCTTAGACACTTTATTCTTGAATTTCAGACGATTACTAATTATCGGACATTTTATTATTAAATTTATTTTCTTAATTTTACAATATACATTATGATCTATTTAGATAACAAAATAATATTAAATTCGGATTATATATATATATTAATAAATGGAAATTTATCGTATTCCTGAAGACTTGAGATTCGTAAATCAGATTGGTCAAACTCTTAGTGCAGAAGAGAAGTATTGATTAATGTAATGAAGGATCAAGTTAGAAATAGCTTTGATAAAGTTAGGCGAAACTTAGACATTTGATTAATTGCTATTTTGGGGAAGAATCGAAGGAACAGTTGCCAATTATTATATTGCCATTGGGTTGAATTTCAAGAATAATTTTGAATTCCCTCACAAAACATTCTTCTACACTGCAAATTTAAAGGAATTCTAAAATTTACCACCCCTCAATCCAGAATACAAAGATTAAGTTGAAACTTTCAGACAGTTATTTTCAGGATAACCTGAAAAAATACTCATTAATATCACAGGTGAAGATGGAGATCAACCACCTGCTGATTAACCTAATCCAGATGAACCTCAACAAGTTCTAAAAAATGATGATGACTCCGATGTTGAAATAAAACCACCTCCCAAGAATTTCTTGGAAGTGGATAGATTAGCCTATGTGGTCAATGCGATTGAATTCGAATGTGCACTTCTCCCTGTTGGTGCAGTCAGATTGACTCCTACTCATGAATTAAGGTACTTAATTAACTATCTTTTTCAGATATAATGATTCATTCGAAGGACTCAATCTCTAAGAAGCATCAAAAATATCCAATTATCAGCATTTCAGAGCACCTCAGAGTCCCAACAAAAAGGCATTGATTGCATAAGACGATGCCCTTTTTCATTATGACTTCTTTGATTAATTGGATGACCATCCTGTAGGATAATGGAGTTTACAAACTGATTCCTCCAAATATCAAGTACTCATTTCATATAAATTTAAGGTCACTGTACGTAATCTCTAATGGCCAGGCTTCTTGGGTTATCATAGAGCAGGAACTAGAATTTTTGGATATGCCTATTTTGGTGATGGTATTAAGAATGTAGATTTGGCATTTCAACTATGATTAATAATAATAAATATCCATGCATTCAAAATAATTCATAGTTTATATTACATAAATTGCAAAATCATTATAATTCTATTTTTATAATTTTCTATTTACTTTTGAATTACTTTCTCATTTATAATTCCTCCATTTGTTTTACTCATCTCTATAACTATGTAAATTTTGCAGAAATTTGATTCAATCATTTCATTTAACTCAATTAAATTTAATGTCAACCCTTTTAATGATACTTCATCTTACTTTACTTCTTTCAATATTTATGTTGACATATATACTTTTAAACCACAATAAAAATAGTATTATTCTTTGAGATTTATTGCTCTTTTATCATTTTCTATTGATTTCTTTATTCTCAAGTCCAGTGTATTCAAAATATATTATAAAATATTAATTTTCATAAAAACTCCTAAAAATTGATAGAATTGAATTTCAAAATTTAATCATAAAAATAACAATCTCATAATTGATTTCAAATCTTTCAAATTAAGTATTTTTAATTATTACATAAATAAATGAGGAATTTCTAATAATTTGTTGAAGTAAAATACTTACATTAGACCAGAATAATTTTTAGATTTGGGAACTACTGGAGTTATAACGAAGTAACGCACTAATCCATTAATAAAAAGTATTAGAACTTAATATTATGGTTGTGATCTTAGAACGCAAATTATTTGATTGTATGATTTATGAAATTCTTGCTTTTATACTAAAATTATTATTTATTGATTGAGTAATATGAATGAGTTTATCTATTTTAATTAATCAAGACAAAATTGGACATTCTATAAGAAGATAACTATATTAATTGTAAAGAAGCTTGCCTCTATGATCATTCTTTTGGTCGCGAATGGAAATTAATTATTGTTTTTTGGATGATCTTCTAGTGCCGACATATGATGATTCAAAATAGTATAAATGTAAGGTTATTAATTTTGACTTTTTTACTATTAGATTCCTTTTGATTTGAAACGATTTAATTTAGTTAATATTAATTAAAACTATTGTGACTTAATCCAATATAAGGAGAAATATTATATTATATTAATAAATATATGAGTAACCCCTTTTAGATTGTTCCATCTGATACTTTTTTGAATATACTTAACCAAAATAACTACTCGGTAGTGGATATGGATGAAGATTATAGAGCCGAATAGGATTGGATGTTTGAAAACGATTGCAATGTTATGGAAGAATAGATATTGCAATAGGAGCCTCTAATGCCAGAACGATCAAAGGCATTAATTGGAGGAGAATTATTGCAGAAATATAAAAAAAATAAGGATGATGAACTCTTGAAAAAAAATAAAGAGGTTTTTCAAGCGAATCAATCTAAAAGCATTTACCTGAACAAAATTCAATAATTAATAGATAAACCCACAATGGTTGGCAAGCCAAAGCAAACGTAAATCTTATTTATTTGTAAAGTCGTTAAAAAGTGATTGTTGATAGTGACTCATCAGATGGAAAGAATAGATTGGCTAAGAACAGAGAATCTGCTCGAAATTCGAGGAAGAGGAAAAAGGTCTATATAGAATTATTGGAAATCAAGGTGAAGGAATTAACAGAGCAATTGCAATAATTAGAATATGTAGTTTAATAAAACAAAATTAAACATCTTTAAGTAGTTATTTACATATGATCTTAAAATTTAGCTTGAGAACTTTATCGAAGATTATCACAGATCAATTGCGCAACTAAATGACACAACATCTATTCAATTGTTGCATGAGAACTTTGGTGCGACATCTCAGAGAAGATGGATGGTATGCACTGAACTCATTAATCTATTAATTGAGACAACTATCCCAATTGAAGTCAAGAAATTGATGGAGTCTGCGAAAAAGGGCACTGATATGTTCATTCAACCATTGCTTCAACATAATCCATGTTTAAATTATCGAGATTATTTTAAATAAGGGACAATAGATTTAGAAATGTATTCATTTATTTAAATTGAGAGCAACAAAAAATTTTGGTTTGGCTTATGATAAAATAAGAGAGCAAGTTTTTGCTTTGGAGAGGTTTAAATAAGATATCATTTAAAAATTAGGAGCACATTCTTATATCGAGTACTTAAATTCATAACAATTGTGAATTAAATATATTTATAACAAACACATTTATAGTACTAATGCAAATTGAAATGTAATTTATAAATGATATTAATTTTAAATTATGATTAATCGAACAATTTAATTTGTGAAAGAAACTCTTTGTCATGCTGAAAGTGGACACGATTACTTCCATATTGAGAGAGTTCTCAAAATGGCCACTCGCATAGCTAATGAGGAGAGCAAACATAAGCAAGTTAATTTGAATTTGGTTCAATTGGGAGCTCTATTACATGACATAGCAGATCATAAATTCCATGGTGGAGACGATACTATCGGACCTAAAGTAGCTAGGCAATTCTTAGAAAAGGACGGAGAAGCCCATGAGGACTTGATTAAACAAGTAGAAGATATCATCAAGGAAATATCCTTCAAAGGCGCCAAAGTGAAAGACCAGATGTCAACCTTTGAAGGACAAATAGTTTAGGATGCTGATAGATTGGATGCTCTTGGAGCCATTGGTATAGCCAGATGCTTCACTTATGGTGGATACAAAAATAGATAATTGTATAATCCAGATTAGAAGCCTTAATTACATGACAACTTCTAGGATTACAAGAAAAATGAGTCAACTACTATCAACCATTTCTATGAAAAGCTATTGTTATTAAAAGATAGAATGAACACAGAAACCGGAAAGAAAATTGCTGAAAATAGACATTAAATTATGGTGAATTATTTAGATCAATTTTTAAAAGAATGGGAGGGAATTGATTGAATTATTATGTGTATATAATAAATATCACACCAATCTTACATTAATATTAAAGCTATCCTCTCAGCCATCATTGAAATACAACACATTGATCTCTTAAAAGACAAAATGATCTAGCCGAATTCATTTATGTGTTACTTTTTTGAAATGATCTCCCCACTCATTCTTAACTTGGTGATAGATTTGTGTGATTTTTATAATACATAATGACTAATAGTCAGCAAAAAACAAAAAATCTTTGAAAGCTATTATTTAATTTATAAAAACATATTAAACTTTTTAATAATGTTTATTTGTGATTATTTTCTAACTAAAAAATTTGTCATAACATTGAATATTTACAATTAATATAAATATCATTTCGATAACCCCCCTATCGTTATGATATTATTTATTTTTTAATAGGAAAAATAGAAATTCAAAATTCCTAAAATTTATAAGTCGAAATGCTCATCATACTGAAATTAAATATATATTATATATTCATGATTCTATAATAAATTTTTGAAGTTTAGATAAGGATGATATTTTCAAGTTTATATTAAATGATATGATTTCACTATTTTGATTACATAGGAATATTATTTGTATTCTACATTTGTTTACATCAACAAAGAGAAAATTGAATACTCATTCATTTAGTTTTCCTATTTCTTCATTTAAAGAGAATGCTATTTTCAAATAATGAATTGTTCTCCTTTGTGAATTTTGTTCTTTTACTATCAATTTATATCATAACATGTGGGTTTTAGACCAATCCAATAGAGAATTAATTCTGGTTGTAAAGGAATTAGAATTTATTCCATTTAATAAAATTTAATGGAGTAGAATACAAAAGTTAATTAAGAATATGTAAGTGATATACTTATCCTTTAGTTTAAAAAGCTGAAATTAATCCAGAAGAAAATGGAGGACATAAAAGCTGATTAAAGTCCAAGCGTAATAAAGTATATGGTAAGAAGGAAAAGTGCAGAAGAGGTCTAGACACCTTTGCATGATGTTGAATTTAATCAGGAGAAAAAGAAAAAGAAACTATTGCTTTTCAAAACATTCTAAAAAGTTGTTGTTGACCCAATCATCAAATTGGATGAAATAAATGAAGAAAAATGGGCAATAATGTCCAACAACTATAAATCATTAATTGAAAAATCAAGGCAAAGTCTCTCAAAACACAGTCAAATATTTTCACCTCCTAAAGCAACAAAGGAACACCATAAGTTTTAGTTTCTGACTCGAAGATAATCAATAGAATTTCGACTTCGTGAAATTGCTACAACTCCGAGCAATCATTCATCTGTATCTCCCATAAAAATAATGTCTAATCCTCAAATTGCAGATCCTAATTATGATAGATTCAAAAAGTATTATCAGAAAATAGGGATTGTAGCTGATAATCCTGTGCAAATGAAGTTCAAATAATTAATGTCTACTCCAGTAGCTCCTCAGAAAAGAAAGGAAAAAAGCTAGCATTCTTGTAATAATTCCTAATAACATTCAACTTCTCCTCCAAAGAATAAAACTCTCCATCTCAAAGCCAATCATAATTCATTATATTTGTAGGAGATCAAAGAGATCTGTTCAGTTGCATAGAATTATTAAGCACATGTGAAATAGGATGAGAGGATTTAAATTCATTAAACCAGCAAATAAATGGGGTACATATAAGCTGAGTTCAATAAATTCCACAACATGTTAACTACAGATTTAGAAAGATTAGATTTTTATGATGAGAAGAAATGAACTTCAGAATTTATGAATAAATTACTATCTATTTTGATAGATTTGGATATCTTAATAATTTGTCATTATAATTTCTGGTAGACTAAATCAATATATCTTATCATTTCCTATTTCACTTGTCCTTTGGCCATGTAAAAAGGAATAGACATTTTGAAATCACATAAGGAGTACATTCTCACAAAAGAATAGTCATCGAAGTTTTTATTTTTGAATCTTCATTTCTTAACATGAATATATACCTATTATTAATGTAATCGTTATTAATTAAATTTGAGAGCGGCTGAATTAAGTAACCGCTCAGTAAAATTTCACCTCTCACCTTATTCTTAATAGGATATTAGGAATCTGTGATGGATTTACTAACGTCACACCAAACCTACTTAATAAATATTAAATAAAAACATTTGTGTCAATTTGTTTAGTTTTCTTATAATAGATAAATTCCCTTGCAGAAGTCATCAGAATCGGTTTATAGCTTAAATAAACGACTGATTCTTTGCTCTCCTCATTCTGTTTAATAGGATAGAAAGCATCAATACGAGGATCTAATTCTTTTTATTTTTAAAAATGGCTCGTAAAATCAATAAAATTTTGAGGCTTCCCTGGAACTATGAATTCACATCTAGTTGCATTTACTTTTGTTTTCTTATCAATCTCCATTTATTTAATAAATAATTTCAACGAACTTTTCGTATTGATATTATCACATAAGATAATCCAATCATCAATTGGAGAGATGCTATAGTCACATTTCTCTTGTATTTCTTTGACAAGCTCTTCCTAAATTTGTTCATATTATTCAAATTCATTTGTAGTTCCTCTTTCATTCAAAGAACAAGCAGTTGTAATTGTCTCATTGGACAACTGAATTTTGCTCAAGAAATAACAAATGGGTTTATCTTCATATAGCAGGATTTATCTTCTTTATTGGCCATAGGTTATTTCTTTCATATACTCCAACTCATCTTGAATGTCCTTGGATGCAATAGATGTTCTGGTGGCATTTCGCTCTTACACACAACACTATGATCCCATTTATATTAATAATATTTTATCTTAGTGAAATGCTAATTATCACAAAATAAATCGAATATCATATCTTATTAATGCTTTTACTATTAAAATGTTAAAAATTATCAGAAATAAAATATGTTGTTATAAGATCATTAAATTGGCTGGACCTTTCATCACTCATCTCTATATGGACATTTCATCTATTAATTTACGAAGGTGGCTTCATATTATGTAAAACAGTCAAAACAAGCCGCATGTCGATTACAAGGGAACATTCTTGCATCGATTACATCTCCTAAACAAATTGGACACGTTTAAGGATTAGTTAATGGTAAGGGAGTCATTCGTTTACGTAACCTGATTGAAATGCGTTTGATTTTAAGAACTATATATTTTGGAAATCTACAACAAAGTTGACTTACGAATAAGTATAGAAATTATAGGAACACTGCTAGTATTTTAAACATCTGAATTATAAACGAAACTAGTATGCAAATAAAGCAAAGACATATCAGCACAAAAGGCAAACTAGCTCTAATTTTGTAATTATCATTGCATGAATATGATTTCATTGTGTGACACTCATTCAAACAACTTTCCTCCAAACAGGAAGAACAAGAATTCTCTACTGGAACTGTTGAAAATAACAAACACTGATTATAGTAATCTACTGCCAATTCATTTGTTTAATTGTGTTTAAGTAGAATTTAGAGTCTGTATTTAAAGTTTACATCCTATATTTAATAATACTCTTCTTCGATCTTCATGCAAAGTATATTTTGATAATTAATTTGTAGACTCTTGCTATAATATTGATAACAAATTCCTTTATTCGTGAAAATAGCAAATACAAAAGCATCTTAAATTGAAAATAGATATTTAATCTTGATATTTGAGTCTTCGTGATACCAAAATAACACTTTAGTAGGCACAGTGTAATTAACTTGATGAGAATTCATAAAGACAGCGGTTCCATTATTCCAATATTATGTTGAAAATACACCATTTTGAGTACTAAACCAAACCTTCTCATCAAGTTGATGAATGTTTTCGTTTAGAAAAATAATATGGAATTGATGGTCTGTGTTTAAATATGTGAATGTTAAGTTAGCATCGTAATTATAGACTTCAATGGATGTGTGAGAATGATTTTTTGGTTTCACTAATGTACTATTGAGTATTTTCATATTTTGGGTTAATATGTTCTTTACATATAAGGACTGGTTTTGATATTGAGCAACAAAGTAAGAGGATGTGATAGTTATATTTGTGAAATTATCATTCGTAATATTAAATGATTCTGTTATGCTTAGAGTGGTTTCATTCTATTTTTCATAAAGGGAATAAACAATAATCAGATCTTGATTCCTAAATTAGTTTCTATGAATAATACCATACAGCAAGAAAATGATTTTGGAGACAGAATTCTGTCATGTTTTAGGAAATAATTGAATAGTGATTTGTGTTTTAAAGATAGGAATAAGCAATATCATTGTCTCTATTGAAGATTATGTAATTTTTATAAAGGGTACTATGAGGATGAGTAATATTGAGTTTCCTAAATGCAAATAGTATTTGGAAGTGTAATAATATTAGAAATATCATATTAATTATATAAAAAGAAATTCAAATGTAAATTTGGATAAGGAATTCAAAACAGTTTTAAAATAAATAAATAAATTATTTAATACCAATCATGGCTACCCTGAATGTACAGATTAACGTGAATCAATACTAACTGATATTGTAGAAGGAAAAAGCCAAGAATGCCTATTAACTTTAAAAAAAGGACTTTCCTTGTGGCCCAATTAACATCTATGAATAAAGATTCAACTCTGTCAATTTCTCGAATCAGAAAATCAATGAAGTCATTGGATGGATTCTCATAATAGCTGTCATTTTAATGATGCTCGTCATGACCTTATCTCTAATTCAAGATTCAGTTGTTGGATTTGCTATCCCATTACTTTCAGTAGTCGTGTTCTTCATTGTGTATCTGAACTGGATATCGATGAAATTCTTTATCAACTCATGATTGTGATCAAATATATTCAAACGACTAACTGTCTATTTAAAATATTTTTAGTGTAAATAATTTTCATTTTTTTTATTTCCTCTCTTTTTTTTCATCATTATCCTTATGTTTCTTATGTTTTTTTTCTTCCTTATTTTTACTCTCCTTGCTCTTCTTCTCTTTTTTTTCTTTCTTCTTTTTCTCTTTCTTGATCTTCTTCTCAATGCATCCATCTTCTTCCTTCTTCACTTAAACTTAGTATTTGTCTTAATCTCCATAAGCTTCTAATAAATATTACGCTTCTGTATTCTTAGTCTACTTTTTCATAGGTCCATTTCCTAATCCTTTCTTTTCATTATTCAATTCATCATCGAAATCTATTTTTGATTTTTTGGTTAACTAAGCCATTTCCTCTTTGGTCAATTTGACTTGCATTGATTTTTATTCGTCTGGTTATTCGATTCCCAAAGCTATTCTAATTCTTCTTTCATCCTCTTCCTTGGCTCTTTTAAATTCATCATCCAATTCTACAATATTTAATTAAAATACAATTAGATTCCAAACCATTACGATCTTCAGGCTTAATATACCAATCCTTCTTTCTCCATTTGCCTCCCTTATCCAAATAACCAATTATTGTTGTTTGTCCCAAATATTGTTCCCTATCATGATACTTCATTGTTCTAAGCGACTCCCAGTTGAATTGATCATGTCCTCCTCTGCATCCTGGTCGAATTAGATCAGCATTATTTTAATGCATTTTTTCTTATTTTATTTATTATTTTTCATACCTTTTTCATTATATTATATTAAGATTTATATTTTTCATTTTTCATTTTTATTAATCATATCTTTCAAACTTAATATCAATTGCCTTGACATTTTATTGCTTCTTTCCCTAATATATGATAACCTGATAACTAAAGTAAGGAACCAATCCTTTCCTCTTTTTTTCGTAACACTCTGGATCTACACAAGACTTTTTAAAATCATCCTGATGAACAAATATGTCCTTCTTATTTTTATCATCCAAAAAAAACCCATACTGTTTGCTTTCATTATAGAATTTCAAGTATCCAATCACCCTTTCAGGTTGACTTGCAATGATTTATTGCTGTGTCTATTGTGGATTCTATTAGGTTTTCCTAAAGGGATACAGGATTATGCATACGTGACGATTTCTTAGAGAAATTTTGTGTCCTCTTGTTCCTCTATGATTTAGGCTTAAGTAGCTTGGAATTCTTGAAAATTAAAGACTCTCTTGCCTTTTTATGAAGTCATGGGAGTTATGGGAGCATTCGGCAATTTAGCTGAATATTATTAGTTAACATTCATAATTTTTTATATTTGTGGTGTGAGAGTCGAAGGTTGATACTATTTATCAATTTTTTATGTTTTTGCACTTTGGACACTCAATCCAATATGTCCTAAGTCATTCATCGAAAGCACTACATTCAGAGATGGATGCAGCTTCTAACTGCCCTCCTCAGAGAGAGGTCTATTGTATTAGACTGTATTGCTAATCTATAGGAAGGAATTGATTGTTTGATCTATTATCTTCTTTATGAACTTAAACTTCTTCCTATACGAATTCGTCTATAATTCATAATAATTGTAATCCTCTTTAAATATTCTAATCGTCCTCATATACCCATGATTTATTATCATCGACAAGAGACCATCATCAATAAAGTACAATTCAATCTTCACCTTAAAAATCTAAGAAATCAGCTCTAAATTGAGCTATTATCATTTATTAATTTTTTACATATTCGAACTGCTCAGATTGCTAATTTATTATGTATTCAGCTAAGGAACTCACATTATTCAATGTTTTATGATGTTATTTAAATTATTATAAACATAAGGTTTGTATTTATTATTGATAAATGTCTGTTTAAAATAGTAATGTTGATAAGCATTAGAATAATGTTTTAGGCTCTAAAATTAGTACCATATCATTCTATTCTATCAAATTAATACTGGATTCCCTTTTCAGAGTCATTTGACTAGAGCTGATGAGATTGCTGTACATATTTTATTTTAATTATTAAATTGAATTATTAATAAGAAATTGACTTTATTCAAATACATCTAAAGCTTATACATGATCTATAAATTAATTAAATAATTATTGTGTATTAAAATGAATTAAGAATATAGTTTAATGACGAAAGCTAATATTCCAAATAGTGTAAAAATATCACTAATTTCATAATTGATAATGTTGACTGTTGCTATTTTATTTGAGTTTACGCTCTTTTTCACAAATCTGTATGAGATTTACTCACCTCAAATATGCACGATCTCATTCACTGGCAAAAAAAGATGCTTGAATTATGATGGCAATTACGAAACTTCCACAGTCGATTGTGAGGATTGCAAATTTTTATGCCTCATTTGGCCATTGTCCCTGGCTGAAATTCTACTATTATTGTGTATTTTTATATGCAAAATATACTACTTTTATACTCTGAAGTGCTGCACTATCATCAAGGTAATATCAATCATTTTAATTGCAATAATACTCAGCTTGGAAATCTATTTACTTTTGTTGTTTAACAACAATGTTCCCCAAGTATTAACCTTTAATTATACAATCAAACTATATCCCATCGTCACAAAACTAACTATAGGAATTTTGATCTTGTCTATCATTATCGCAATATGGATCGAAGATATTTAAACATTTAAGTATAGGAAGCAAAAATTAATGTCAACCTCGTCTTCATGTTATTCACAATAATTGTTATAAATTTAGTGATCTAAATATTTATATATATTGTTTATTGAATCAAATAACTTCACATTTTTTACATTCCCTCTTTACATCCCTCTAATTCAATTATCAATTATTGCCATCCTAAATTTGCATTTAAAGTTGAATTCTAATTATTAAAATGGACATAATTATTAAGTATCTTAAAATTAGGATTAAATTTTATAAATACAAAAGCATTAACAAACATCCTTCATCCTTGAGTTGCAAATCTATTGTGTCTAAAACTACTATTCAAATATGAGCTAACTTAGATTAGATATACTGTTATGCACACTTATAAAAATACTAAAGAAAGTTAAGTTTTCAACTCTATCTAATTAGCGATTTAAGAGAATAATCAACCACTAGCCAAATTAATTTGTATTTAAATAATTGAAAGAGTATTAAGGTTATGCAATCCTATTTAGTCTTACAAATTGATCCTCTGTTTCAAAAATTGGGTAATAGTTACATGATTTCCATGAAGCTTATACATTTCTTGTTTCATGTAAAATTTAAGTAATATTCTAATAAATTTTACAACAAGCCTTCCTCCATATAAGAAGGTTTTGTGGCTCCTTTTTCGAATGAGTTATATTAAATTTATAAAAATCATATTTATTATAATACTTGTAATACTTTCTCATTTAACTCTAATGAATCAGAATGGTCAGGAAATAACTTAAGTGTTTTTTAAACCAATGAATAACATTGAGAATAATCTTGTTGGTTAAAGTGCAATACACTTAAATTATAGATAGGCTCATAAATGAACTCGTTACTTTCTATGGCTTTCTAAAAGTTCAGCTTGGCTTTGTCAAATTCTTTTCTTTTCGATTGAACCACCTATATATATTCTAATCTCATACAGCTAAGTTGTTGTAGGCTTCTCCATGGTGAGGATCATAACATAGAGATATCTTAAGACATTAATAAGCAGTGCCACTATCTCCTAGATTGATAAATATCTAAAATATAATGTATTTATTACATGCGATAAGTTATACCATACTTCTGCTCTTTGTTATTCATCGGCCACACTTAAGGCTCTTTCAAAACATGAATAGAATAAATCATATTGTCCACTATAAAAGCAGCATAATCCTATATTGTTCCAAATTTCTGCAGTGTACAAACCCAATTATAACTAGAATTAATGTTTATTTTTACTAATCGCTTATAAAATTGTAAAGCAGTTTCAGGCTAGTCTAAATAAAAATGTTATGCTCCCAAACTAGCCACAGCTTCAATATTGCAATTATCCTTAATTAATGTATTTTAATAAAAGGGCAAGGCTTTTTCGGGTTGATTTAATTAATCATAAACTCTAGCTATCCCTATCAAATATGAAATCTCATGAGGATATCGCTCACTGTTCCTTTTATACAGTTCTATTGCTGTGGTTGGCTAATCTAATCTTAGATAAATTCTAATATGTTTATGTATCTAATACTTTGCTAATTGCAACTAGGTTTTTATCATCTCTTGCATTTTAATAGAACTTTCGAATTGTTTCTCTGCTTCTCTATAGAGTCCTAACATAAAATATGCCTTTCCTAGTCTTTCCTTCCACCACCAATCTGAATAATTGTTCGCTTAAGTTGCCTCTGCAGCCAATTATAAAGCCTGAATAAATTAACTTATTTACTTTTCTTGGATTATGTTCAACATAAATTAAATAATCGCATAAAACCCTTGATACTACAGGTTTGGCAGCCATCTTTTTCATGTCTAATTTATCAACCATAATGAATTAGTCTCCCATCTATTGTAATGAAGCCGTGCCCAATCTTATATATCTTCCTCCTTATGTCATAGGTCTGGCTGTGCCCAGCCTTGTACCAACTCTTGCAGTCTTTACTGCATTCTCTTAGGCTTCCTGTCGATTTGTGACTGGTCTAGCATATCCAGTCTACAATCTCCCCATCTTACTCATTGGTCGAATACCCAAAAATAATATATTCTTAATACTTAGCCAGCTTGACTTCCAGGTCGTTGTAAACTTGTACCAGGCCTGGCTACTGTGTTGATTGAGTCATCATTCATCAATTGATCACCAATTCCTTATTCATCTATTTCAATATCATCCAAAAACAATTTTCTGATTAAACTGCTTGCTTTTAAGACCCAAGTAGATTAATCTTAACTATTCACTTAAAGAATCTTATCGCATAATTGAATAGACTAGTCGTATTTTCTCCTTCTATATCTACTTACTGCAATTGCAAAGTCATCCATTTTTATAATTTATAATTAATTATTCTTAATTTATTCGATAACTTATACTCAATTAATCAATACCTACTACTTATCATATTTCTGAGAAATGATCAACTCCAATAAAAAGAGTCAAACAAATATTATCATTTTTAATTTCTTGTTTTTAATTTAAGAATCTTACTAATGAAGGTGGGAAGATAATGGTTTCAAAATATCAAGTGAATTAAATTGTAAATGGAAGATAAATAGCTTAAACAGATTCAATAATTTAGAAATAATTAAAAGAAAAAGGATTTTTCAAAAATGGTTAATTAAAAAATGTACTTAAAAAAGTTACTTATCTTGGAATTAGTTTTTGGAAGCCAAAATATTCTGATTTAAGGAAATTACCAAAATTTGAATTGGAAATAAATTAAACCTTATCCTTAATCTTAATTGCTTAAGAAGAAAAGTCAATAGAATATAAATTAATTCAAAATGCTTTTGGGTGGATCTTTAAGAATAAAGATTACTTTGATAACCAATTCTTATTCGTTTGTTAAAATAAATATTATTATTTTTTAATTGCTTAAAATCTCATTCATCCCTATAATTTAGATAGTTTATATTTCTTATAAATAAGGGGCAATAATGGATTGACTGTCAATTATTTTTAATTCTTTTTTAAATATGTGTAAAAAGTCCTCCTTATACATATGAGTTAATTAGAAATGGTTCAAATTCTTAATTATTAAAATTGTTAATATAAATTTAATTAATGCATACTAAAAATATTACATTGATATATTATCAATTGAGTTAAGGTCATGTATGAAATACTCAAATGAGAATGTCCAAATATATATTTGGAATGAGTCGCTTTAATGAATTCTCAGTTTTATTTCATATCAGTTTAGAAAGGTATAAAATTATAAGATTAGATTTTGCATCGTTTTGATTAATACGCAGTAAATTCTTATAATAAAGTGAATGATTATTTGAAAGCATATTAAAATTTAATAATGGATAAATAATAAGGTTGTTTATATGAACGTTTTGGTGGCGATTCATAAGTTTCTGAGCTGATTGATTAATTTTACTATAAGGTGTTATTTGATAAGTTGTTAAGAGACAAGTTTCTAAAGGCAGATATGAGTAGAGTCAGATATCAATAAAAGCGATTCTTCTCATAAATGATGGGAGACAAGAAAACTCAATATACTGGAAGGTAGGATATTAATTGTGATGTTTATAGAGATTTAATTGAGGTGCATCGAAATCTAAATATCTCAGATTAGCAATTTGACAAATTTAAGATTCATTTAAAAAGCATAGCTTAAGACATGGAAGTGAGTGTGGAGGATATCGAAGAGTTGTTGGAGCATGTGGAGAGACACAGAAATGTTATTGTATTTAATAAATGATGTTTTAATTCATATATTAATTTTTATATGAGCGAATTTCCTGAATAAATAGATATTTCGAAACTTAGAATAGATTTGGGTCAATAATGGAATGAAATCGAATTGGAAGTGTTTTTAAAGAGTATGATTGAATGAATAAGTTGATTGTAGTCTTTAGACAATAATAATTGGCAGGGGTTGGCAGGATGTAGGAGACTTTGAGACAGTTAGGATATCAGCGAACAACAACAAACTTATTATCTGTATATAAGAAGGTAAGATTAATTATGGATGAAGAATAAAAACTTCTTGGAATCAAATCAAAATTGTACCGCCCATGACTTGTATCTGATATTACGAGATCATTATGAATAAAATGAACCTTGTGATATGAGACCAATTAAGAAGATTAAGAAAAATTAAAATTGTACACTTTATTGCATAAACACAAGATCGTAAGAGTATTCCTCAGAAATTCGATATGGATGAGAATGCAAACGATATGACCTATTATTTCAGTTAAACATAATGTCTCAATAACCAATGTGTTTATGATAACAAAAACATAAGTCAGAATGTATTCATAGATTATTTTAAATTTAAGTTTTGTAAATGGATTTAACATGAATATTTTTATTCGCATTTAGATTATACTTATTTTAGTCTAAATGAATTTTAGTAGATGTTAAGTAAAGCGAGTATTCCATTGGGATCAAAATCAATTGCAGAATGGAGAATTATAAAAATGGTAGAATTTCATTTATACTTTTTAGGCAGTGGGATAACCCAGAAGATTTTCATTTTATTTCCTTCAATAGGAGATGAGCAAATTGACAAAATATCGATCCGTTATTAGAAACTACTTATTTGATTAGAATTATCCTATTCACAGGGGATATTCGAAATCTAGATTTAATACATGACATAGTAAGATTGGCACCATTCAGTGTTGGTTAAACTGTCTATGCTGTCCATCCAGTGTGCAAACATGTTCATGTTGGATCCATCTTGTCTACCAATCTACCTACTATAACTATTAAATTCTCATAAGCAGAATTAGGAGTTCACAAGATATCAGATCAGAATATTTAATTGTATCTTTGAATCCCTTATTATCATAAGAGAAGAGAAGTTCATAAGCAAGTAAATGAGTGATGTTCGATTCGATATGCAATAGCAATTGAGTTTCAATACACAGAATGAGAATAAAAACACTTTGATTTCCAGTATTGTTTAGGAGTTGGATCATTATGCTGCAGCTTTTATGATTAGGATTTTGTAGAGGTATCATCATTAGTATTTCAGAAAATATGCCTTGGTCGGACATTTGAAGCAATTGAGTTAGAAATTGTAAAATGAACCAACTCTAATAGAGGATCAAGAGTTCAAAGCTCTTTATCAATGGTCGTTGTAACAAATCAAGAATTTTGATTCTGCTTCTAAGCATGTTATGACTAAGTTTAGAATGAGAGGATTGAGTGGATATTGTAAATGCAATTTATATATCTAATCAAGCTTTACAATAGGTGAACAACAATTTGGACAAGGTTTTGAGCATGCCTTTGGCCTATATGGAGAGAGAATTGGACCAGAACAATGTGGAACCGGAAGAAGAGAAGAAGAATTTAGAGATCAAGTAGATCATTCATAAACAATAAGATGTATTAATATGTTATTTCTTATTTCAAAGGAGAAAATCAACTCACAATTAAATTCATTACTAACACAAAAGTTTGCATTTCTAGAGATGGACAATTGTAATTATTCATCTTATGATTTTCAACCTGAATAGAATTAAAACCCTTAGTTCAATCACTCTTTGGTCTATTGTTTACTCTAAATAATAGTTAAGATTTGAATATGAATTCGAATAGTCATTGGCAAACATTAAAATAAAATATCTAGGAATCACATCCTCAGCAACTGCAGGAGATATAGGAATCAATACTAAGAATAGTAGGTAATCATAGTAAATGACATAAATTTATATTTCGATTTCAGATTTCAAAGTGAGAAGTTTAGAATTTTTAATTTATTGGTTTCAATTTTAAATGACTAAAATATGGTCTAATATCTGGTTTCTATTTCCGATGAGTTGAAGATGTTTAAGTGTGTTTTTTAATCACTTGTGGTTCTTGCTCCTTTTTTGTTTGAGGTACACTAAGCTAATGAAAATTCAATCGACTCTTTCTCTTCATTTACTCCAATAGTTCATTATAGAAGAGTTCTTTATTTCTGTTGAGGACAACTGCATTTTCCTTCATGGGAGTTAATCTTGGTGATATGTTATACACTTAGGATAATTAGATCTCTCTGCAGGTGTTCGTTCTGAATTAGTGTCTCTAAATAAGAATGGATGACCGATTGGAAACAGGACTATGATGCGAATGGAGTTTTACGTGATTTTCATAGATTTGCTCATCATCTGATTTTTTTGGAAAGTTGTAATCCTCCTTAATGGAACATTGTTATTTTAATGCTTATATTGAAACTAACTTAGTTGACCGCATTCGCTGCAATAGCAACTTTTTCTTCTCAATTAGGTTTCATTTGTATTGATCAATTCTTCCTGATTCAGTTTGTAATTTCTATGCTTTAAACTGCTTCTCTTAGACTTATTCAAAGAGTAGACGATTGAATTCGTTTCCGTCAATATCTTATCTGATACACGAGATATGCTTTAAGTCATATTAGAGATGATCATTTTATTAAATTTAATGTTTATTTCCTGTCAAAAACTACTACATACTGATTCAAACTATTGTAAATGAAATACTAACTATTATATCAAAAAAAGAAATTAATAGTTTCAGAGTGGACTAACAGTTGACAATGTTTTCTGATGATATTTCGTTCTGTGCAAAGTCAATAGTTACGATCTCTATTACATTAATTGAGCTGGCTTTATTGGTTTAAGTAGTTGTGAATCTATTTTCCTCAGTGTCACGTAAGGCGACAAGTAAGGTAAATTTCTAGGCGTTTTTGAATGTTTTGGAGAACAGTTTGGAGTATATTATGCTAATTAATACACTTTTATTTGCTATTATTATTGTCTTGAGAAATAAGAATGCAATTTTGTCATCTATTCCTATATAACTTATAAAGACTATGGGTTTCTATTGTTATCCTGCATTGCGTTTATTTTACTTTCATCGTAAGTCTTCATTTTTTTCAATGTTTGCGTTATTCGTTACACAGATTTAGGTTAAGCTGATTGTCTAATCAATCTAATTAAACTAAATACATGTGCTAGTTGGATGCTCTTCTTGTAAGAATAGCCTTTCGATATGGCCTAGGTCCCTTTATGTTCATGCATTTATATTAAAATGTTCCCAATTGCCCACATTCATCACAGTAACAGCTTTTCCTTCGAAATGGCCCCTTTATCGTTTTCTAATGTAAAACAAAAGGCTTTAATTAGCTTCGTGATTTTTATCTTCTCACTTATCGACCATGTTATCTTAAAGTGTTTGACAATCTGAAAGTCATACTCAAAGGAGAATTTAGACCAGAGCTACTCTCGAATTGTTTCACTTTATCGAGAGGCAATTAATTCATGAATTATTAAATATATATCAATTTTGCTATCATAATAATCCAAAAATTATTAACCTCATAGACCATTTTGAAAGTTCCCAAAGCCACTCTTTGGAACTCTCTTCTTTAGTTCATAAATCTTTAAATTGCCTATTAATGTATCTTTTTTTTATCAGAATATTTAAACCCTAATCCTGCTTATTTAATAACTACAAATAAAGGACTTCTCATTTTATTCGTATTTTCTTTGGATTAAAAAAGGTTCTCAATTCAAACTGAACTTTAGATGATTTTGAGTACTTCGAAAATCAATTAAATTAGAAAATTCATTATACAGAATAATTTATTAAATCACAAATTAGACACATCAAATATCAATATTTATATTTTCCATAGTGAACATCCTTTTGCTTGAAGATACTCTGAAATTGTCTAATTTATAAATTATCATATATAATATGCTTAAATCATTGAATTAGTGGATGAATCTATATTAAGTAGATTATTGAAAATATTCTAATTAGAAAAATGCAAATTATAATTTAATGAATTGGGATTTTCTAAATAGAAAACTAAAGGAATTCTTTGAATAGAGGCGATAATAATCCATTGATAAATTATTTACTCTAAATGCTGTAACTGATAATAACTTCCTTAAAAAATAATTCCTAGAGTTGGAAACTTAAGTTACAGAGGAACAAAAATAAATTGTCTCATAACCTAGTGTCCCTATAACTACACCGACGCCTTCGAAGTCGAAATAAACTCCGAAATCCTTTAATTAGATCTCTTATCTCTTTTCTCCTCATGGACCTGCAAGATCAACGAACTCTATGCAAATGAGATAAATCGTAACAAGTAACCTAAAAAATGGGAATAACAGCTATAATCATGTTAAAAGCAAGGACATCAAGAAAGTGTAAGAATTAGTAGGTTCAAATAGTAAGACTTCTTTTAAAAATAATGGAAGAAAACTATAAAAATAACAAACTTCAGTCTCACAAAAGATTCTAAAAGATTTAGATGATCAATTCGACCCATCACCTACTAATCTGATTAAACCATGTGAATCACTGAAATGTTTCATTACACAAACCAAAAATATTAATACATTATCAATGAAGGCTTAATTGAAACTCAAATCTTAAAGATCTATCAGATAATTAAAACAACCTAGTCCTGCACTGGATAATTTCACTAAATTGGGGTTTGGAAATAGTACTGATCCAAGAGTGGGTTTAGATAGGTTTTTAAGCAATAAATGGTTGTAATTCGTTATTGAATAAAAGTCAATGAGAAAAGATGATTAATTTGATAACTATCTCTAATAATATAATGAATCTAAATAGAAGGAGTAAAGCATTTAAAAATTGAAATAAAAGTAACAAGTAAGATAAGATTTCAATAGTGAAATACCATAATCATTGATTTTTAAACCACATCGATATACTAAAAAGATAACAAAAGTAAAGAAGAATGAAATTTCAGAATTAATCTCCTCCTATTCTCAAACTGTTTTTGATATAGAAAAGAAAAGAGATGACGATGAACTGATTGAATTCTACCCTATCTATTACGAAAAGAAAGTTAAAAGACGAAGGATTATTCGTAAAATGAAAATTCTAGCTAAAAAGGCTATTAAATTAAGAACATTTGTTTTAGATGTATACAACATTATATAACAATATCATAGTTGCTCTAGAAATTTTAACAATTTGTACCATACTAAATGCCAGGCTCAATCGCCTTTTTGAGGTTTGTTTAGTAGAACAATCTTTAAGCAGTTAAGGAGATGCTGGATTAGGATAATTCATTCATAGGTTCTTTTAATGAATAAGGACAGTATGCCATTCATTTAGGAGTGATGATTTAATCGATTGAAATGGTCAAACTACTGTTATATTATAGGGCCAATGTAAATTCAGAGGACTTCTTTCTCTAAAAACCACTTTATTTCGCTTTGATAACTGATAATTTACAGATAATTAGATTGCTACTCGCTTGTAGAGCTTCACCATGGGATGAAAATTTGAGAGATTACTTCGTTTGTTGTAGAAGTGAAGATGCAAAAAATCTAATAAAACTAGGCTAATATCTTAAAATATATAATAAAGATCCAGAGTGTATATTAAATATAGAAAATATCAAATAACAATTGAATTAGTATTGAATCATCTAAAAAATAATTTTGGTCTTAATTTTGATATTCTTGCATACAACCAATAAGTTAAATTGCAATCATGTTCTAAGTGTAGTGTGTGTAACTTGGGGAAACTAGTTTCTTTCTTAAATATGCTTTCCAAGAAAAGTCCTTCTGGAGGGTATTATTACAATTTAGTATCACAATCTAAGTCCCCATGTTCGAAGTGACCTAGCCAAAATATTTTGAGATTTTAATGTTAAGCTATTCCTAAGACAAAAGACTGTGAGACCCAAGAGTCTCCAGACACATCCAATTCTTCCAGAAATGGACAATTTTCATTCCATATGGAAACATCATATTATAAGGGGCAGTTTCTCAAACATAGATATCTTAATTGATGGAATTTGGCTATATTGATATGAGCTTGATCTCTCAGTTTTCTTGTGTAAATGATTGACAATCTTTATAATTGGAGATCTTGCATATTCTTAAATGCTTAATCACTAATTTTAGCACATTTTTCGAAGTTATTCCTAACCAATGCAAATTCTGTTAAGGTCGGAAATGAATGAGCAATTATATCTAATGATTGATCTCCAATTCTCGAACAATATCTAATCTCTAGAGACTTTAAATGCATGAGATCAATCTGGAACCCACTTTTAGATATTTGTGCATTATATACTTGTTCACTCCCTCCGACAAGTAGTTTTTATAACAATTTGCAATGCTTGGATATGAGATACAGAGAATCATTGGTTAAATGGGGACAATCATGAATGCAGAGTACCTGAAGATTGAATTCAGCAAAAATGCTAATGAAACCATCTTCCCAAGGCAATGAATAGAAATGCAATTCTTATGCGCTCTTCAATGTAAGGAATGATTTCATTTCGATCTCATCAAACGGTTTCTTCCTATTTTTTGTATTCACCAAAGTTAGACTCTTGAAATTCGGAAACTTGCGAGTAAAGATCTTTGAGAATTCCATGTTGATATTAGTAAATTTCAAATATTGTATACTCTATGGCAATTACATGAACATATAGGCTGTATCAGTCTATGTTGCATGTGGAGGCAATTTCATTGATATTATAGTCTTATCTCTTGAAAATATCTTCAGGATTGGAAACAACGGCTTAGATGAGTCAATGTTTTCTAAATTCGCATGCTCAAACATCAAAGGGTCTTTTTCAATTATTTCCCTCCATCTTCTGCAAACTCTCGCCGATCTCACTAAATCAAACTACTTTAATTAATGCAATACCACATTCAAGTATGTAAGGATGATACGTACATAGTCATTCTTTAATAAGGTAAAAGGATCATAAGACGGAGGTTTCCTTATTTATTATTTTTTCATCATAGGAATAGAAATTATGAATGAATGAATATTAATATTTTGATAATTAACAATATGATAAAAACAATATTGAAGTCCTTGATAAATGAATATTAATACTTTAATAAAGTAAACGAAACAATTTAACAATGAATTTACTTAAGATTTAAAATATACAAATAATCAATTCATTAAAATCTACTTTTAAGTTACTCTTATTCTATGATCCCAACTTCCACTAATAATCAATTCTCTTCCAGGCATATACTCCAGAGCACTAATTTATTCAGAATGTCTTTTTGCAGTCAATATTGACTTTCCTGTTGCTATGTCCCAACATCTAATAGTTCTATCTGCACTTCCAGACCATAATTATCTATTTTCAATATCAAATGTCAGACAAGTGACTGCTTCCTGATGTCCAACAAAAATATGTAGTTTAATGGCTCTATCTAGATTCCAAAGTATTATCTTTTTATCAGCTCCTCCAGATGCAACGACTGACATGAATTCACCCATTAATGATTCTTGTAGATATTTCAAACATAACACTTCTCCATGATGACCATCCAATTAATCCTTACAAGAACCATTTAATACATTGTACACACCTATGGTATTCTCTCCTCCACTAACAATTAGACCCTTAGTTTAAACATAACATAATGCTCTAACCCTTTAATTATTTTATATGGTTAATTTCAACTTCGCTCTGTTTGTTGTCCATATCTTAATGGTGCTATCTAAACTGCCAGATGCTAAATATTCTAAATCCTTTAGATATATCAAACTTTTGACAGGTTACAAATGTCCGACTAACACACTTTCACATATCATTCTTTAATAGTTCCAAATTCTCACTGTTTGATCAGCACTGGCACTACCAAAATTAGTTTCATTAATTTTAGCTAATGCCCATACATCGCCTGCATGTTCACTCATCTAACCCAATGCCACTCCTCCATCAATATCCCATATTTTTATGATTCCTCCACCTCCTGCAGATATCAAAGAAGATTAAGAAAATATACAAAGACATGTCACAATGTCTGTATGTCCACTTAGCACTGTATTCATTGCTTTTGCATATATGTATCTAGATCCACTAAACTCAGCTGAACTTCTATTTTTGGGTATAGTGAATCCTTCCTCTGCTCTATAAATTCGCACAGACTTCCTTTCTGGCTGCTAATTATCCCTCAATAATTCTAATGCATTTCTTTTAAAATCAATAGATGGGAACAATGCTGACCTTGCTGTTTCAGGTTCATATTCTGTCTGTAAATGTGTGGCTCTCTTTTACTCCAATGATAATTCATTATTCTTGAATAAATTATAAGACTACAATGCTTTTCCAAGTGATGATTTTACTATATTATAAAAATGATCAGTCCGCATATATAACTGATTCTCTAGAACTTGTTTCGAAATTACCTCAGCTCTCTTTTGTAGACTCGGTAATACATTTCCATTCATTTTTTCTTGGAAATCCATCAATATCCCAAATTGATTTTCATTTATAGGTCTGACTCTTGTTGTATATGGGGCTACCATATACATATGCTCAGAAATTACACCAAGCAAACTACCTATCTCAGTTTCATACTATTTGTAATATGAATTTGTATATTCTAAAGCAGAAGAACAAAAGTCATCAACTTCAGCATTTATCCGAGATTTTAGAACTTCGGATAGCTTAATCACTTATTTCTTCAGCTGCTCCTTCTCTACAGTCATGTGATTCTGAATTGAATAGAGTCTAGCCTTTAGAACATCCAAATCTTTCTCAAGCAACTAAGGAACCTACTTTATTTGATAATCCATGTCAGAGAAACCTTATATCATCGGGTAGTGTTAAGCATTGTGCTTGGTCATACATTGATTACACATCAATTTCTGACCACAATCTTTGACTTAACAAATCAGAGTATAGGGAGCATTATGTTCAAAACATTTCATTTAATTAATTTTTAGTTATTTCAATTTTACATTTCGGGGTTGTTGAATTAATTAAACACTTCAATATTTATCAAAGATTAATTTTATTTGAATATTTACTTGCAGTGTTTTCCAGTCTCTTTCAAATAGAAGAAATTCACTAAATAGTTTTATAATGAAATTTAAAAGATAACAATTACTTTATGATAATCTATTTATTTAATTATTACCAAAATTATCACAAATTTTAATATAAGCTGCAAAACTACTACATCTCAGCTTCCAATTTAGTTTAATTTAAGATAAAATTAGTAGAATGTCTTTTCCAAATTTGTTTCATTGAAACCTTTCTATTCATCAATAGTTAAAATAGAAAGGTTACTTCAATCAAACTATATTTTATCAAATTTATGAGAAAATGTAATAAAAACAGAGCTTTGACAATATTATATAAGTATGAAGAGTAATAATTATTAAAAAAAATGTAAAAATTTTATAATAAATTATTTTAAATATAAGGAATAAACTATGCTATGGAAGATGTCTATACTTTTCATAGTCTATTTTCCATTTTTATAATATTGAATACAAAACATCAAAACTGACCTTCATGATATTTTTAATGAATTAAGTAATTCTGACAATTCCTTTCTATATTTATTTTTGATTCAAGTACTAAAATAGATTAATTTAGACTCAATGCTTGTCTAAAATCATTCAGGATAATTCAATTGATTAAGGTATTTTTAATTCAACAATTAAAAATAACCTTAAACCTTAAAGATTTGATGATATAAAAAAATGAGAATAAAAATCAAAATGAAATCAAACTGTTTCCGTCAGAAGAATAAATACTATAGTTTCAAATAAATAATTTCACTAAAAGATTTATATTGATAAATACTTAGTTTAGTTCAAAAGTATTGCTTTCTCTTAAGAATACTCCTTTTTCTCCAAATTATTGAGAGTATATGTTTATTATAGTTGTGCTGTAGATGTTACGAATCAATTTTATATAACATTTGTGTAAGACAATACTTCAAAATTTTATCAACTGTTAAAAATCTTATCTTAGGATAAGGGTGATCTTTTCTCATGTAGCTAACTCTTGATTCATAAACTTTTAATATAGGATGCAATCTATTTTAATCAAAAATTACTCTATAAAATATATATAGTAAATAAAGATAAGCACATTCCTTACTCTTGAACTATATTTATTTCTTTGCTACTTATCAATTTAAGGATAATATGATACAATTCTAAATTATGAACAAAATATTGCGTTCATTTCTACTTTTAAATGATTAAGATAGAAAAGTTGAGAATTGATTCTAAATCAAAGAAAATATAAGTATATATTTAGAATGAAAAATAGTACAACTTTGACTATTTTATTTTATTGTTGCTAATTATGGTAGCTATTTTAATAATTAATTATTAATATTCTGGAATTTAAATGGATAGTGTAAAGAAGGAACATTCATACACATATTGGGTTAAAAATGATCCAAATCACCCTAAAATCGATTGCTAACCAAAGAAAGTTGAAGACCCTACTTAAGTGTAACAAGTGCAAACAATAGGGTCTCAATGGAATGTGTCAGGAACATGGGAGGAAAAAAAAGTGCCAATGAATGAAATCAAGAAATCATTAGAAAATATCATTGGAGTAAGAATTATATGTATTCGTTATTTTTAGATGAAGATTGGCTAAACCAAAATTTCTGCAGTAGAATCGGTAGATGGAGAAGCTCATCTCTTTTTGAGTAGAGGCAAGATAAGAATGGGTTATCATTTGAAGATCACATTTGCACTTGAAGATGATGGATAAATTAAATACACAGACTTTACGGATGATGGGGATAGAGATGTAAGAATTTGACACATAATGTTTAAGTATATACTTGAAGATGTCGCTGATGAAACAGTGAAGCATTAAATCGAGGATTTACATTTGAAAACTAAAGAGTTTGTTGAAGTGTTTAAGAGTTGATTGAATTAAGTTATGTATTTTAATTTATTAAATACTTTAAAAATATTCTAAAATGACAATTTATACATATGACTTCCTCATCACTTTTTTTTTATTTGTTGAACCTATACTTATTACTGTCTTGCTTTTGGATTGACTTTTGGTTTTTAGCATTCCTCGTAAAACTTCTACAACTAAATTCTAAATCCTTCATTTGGATGAACAAATTCCCTTTTGTTTTAAATGTATAAAAATGCCTCATCAGGTTTCATGTTCATCTCTTTAATAAAATAAGCCATCATGACTGAAACTGATCTTGAAATGCCTACTTAGCAATGTACGAGAACATTGGTTTTTTTCAAGTACACTTTGATAAATTTACAGGTTTTTTCAAAATGTTCGGATATTTAAAAATTAGGTTCATCAGGTGCAACTATCCTTAGATGATATATCTAAGTTGGTATTTTATATTCTAATTCATCAATAACAGAAATAATAGCACCAAACTTGTATTTATTGATTGATTCAAGTGATTTGACTCCTCCTACATAGAGATTACCTTTGTCATCAAAATTTGATTTATGAATTAGAGTGCATCCAAAATAATCAGGATTCATATTATTAAAATTTATATTCAATATAAATATAACATATCAGATGACTTTTATTACAGAATTCATCAAAACGTGCAAAAAAAGAAATATAAAATTTTTTTATATATTCTTAAATGCTGGCAACTTGAAATACCTAAATTCTAATATGATTTTAATATCAAGATATACAAAAATGTATTGATGCAATATTTATCCAAATTTAGATTTTTAGTTAAAATATATGATGAAGTCCAACACTACAAAGTATATAGTTTAATATTTTCAACAGCTTTAGTGTATGAATAAGTAAGTAAATGTTTGACTCGTAGCTAATTTCACTAAGAATATTATTTACTCTTGGAATTTAGAGGCCACTTGAGTGATATGATGTATTTCTAATATAGTATAATAATTTATTATAATATGCATTCTCATTGAGTATTTTAGTTAATGTAAATAATTGATATTAATAATGCAAAAAATAAAATTAGACGATGATGAGGAGTTTAACTTTAGAAGGCAGTTTGAAATTTAATAAAGAGCAGTAGAGCCGAAACAACTATGCAAAGTAATATGATGGTTTTAAATAGTTCAAAGATATATTGAATCAAGCTATTGATTTGAACAAGAGGAAGATAAGTGAATTGGCTTCATATAAGAGATAATAAGTAAGTGAGGAAACTTCTAATGGCACACAACAATAATTGGATTTTATACAGGAACAGACTGACGAAGTTTTAACCTATTAATAATACTTGAAGACGAAGTTAGATCAAATCCTAAAGGCAAAACTGTTAACAGAGAGGAGAATCAATAACTTTAAGGATAATCTACGACATATCAAGACTCAGCCTAATCATGTTCATAGAGAATTAGATGATAAAGTTAAGATGATGCTCAAGAAAACCCAACATTTCACGAATCAGTTTTAGAAGGAAATGCAGAAATTCAGAAGCTAATCTGAGAGGAATCAGGAGAAGTAGTGTAGGGATGCAGAAAATAGTGAATTTGAAATCAAAGAAATCTAGTTAAAGGTTAAAAAATGCAAATAAAAAAATTAAGAATTATTACATTAAATTTGTATTTTGACAGAACAGGAAGAATAGAAGAAGTACAAATTATAGGAGTGCTTCAAAATTAGGGAATATATTGAATTTTTTATGGATGCTAAGTTAAAAGTTGTTGATTAAATATAAGGAAATCAAAATCAATTGTAAGAGTTAGGTTAATCACTGCAATAATAAAATGATAAAACATTAACAAGAGACGAGATCTTGAATCAAGTAGATGAGTTCTACAAAACACAAGATATTGGTGAATTGACCAAACAAATTATCAGCACTTACCATTATCTACTTGAACACTAGAATATGCAAACGAATGAATACAATTTTTTTACTGAAGAAAAAACCTTAAGACAATAGCAAATCTTGCAATTGAACCAAGAATTATCGCAACTAAAGAACATGTGCAATCTATCAATAGACGATCACACTAACTTTGGTTCATACAATAACACTATTATTGAGGGACCGCAAATAATTCATGAGAACTATTAATTGAATTATCATTTGCATGGATATCAACTATGTTTAATAACCATATATCAGAAATTGATTGACATGATTCAAAGGTTGTGTAATAATGTGATTTGGTTATAAGAGACGACAAAAACTATTCCAAAATCTTTGGACAACAAATGCATGCAATACCTCAAAAACTTTACAAAGGCTGATTTCAATCTCTATGTTCCACTTGCTACTTAGAGTGTTCCTGTTAATAAATCCACAAACTCAAAGCATATTGGATAGTATGTTTGTATTGGAAAGAGGAATGGTAGCATTACCAGTGAAGAGATTCTTAGTGAACAAAAAATAGAATCCATAACTAGATTTCCGAGTTAGCAACTGGCTAAATTTAAAACGCATAAAGATTTTGAATTCATTGTTAATTAATGGAATGATCTAATAAAGAGTGATTTCCTTTTCTAAACTTTGTAATTAGACATCAGTTTGGACGATATCGATGTCACATTAAGCAATCATGAAATTATTTGTCATTTATATGATTAATATTCTAAACTCATTAAAGAAGCAGATATTAAAAAGCATTTCGAATTACAATTTTCATACTACAGAGACATAATGAGACATATTTACAAAAACAATCAAAATTTTAATCCGAAAGCTTTAACATTGAAATAAAAGTTCAATAATGAAGTAACTTCTCCCTTTTTGCTGCAAATTAAATAGCTTTAATTGAAGAGATTGCAAGAATAGGCTAATAGTACTCATTTGGATGATGAAAGCAATTTTAAAATGAATTCTAATAAAGCAATCAATACTTCAGATGATAGAAAATACCATGAATACTTCATTCATCAGAGTTCAAAAATAAAGAAACACTTCCCTGTTCTACAAGATCAATTAGTTACGAAGACTCTATAAGATATTGATGTTATGAGACAAAAGGAGTTGAATGAGAATTATCAATAGTCCGACTAGATTTCATCTGATATGGATTATTTAAATTAAGAGAGGCGGAATTTAAAAGGCATTCTTAGTAAGAAGAAACAAAAACCTTAAACAGCCAACACCAAAACATCCAAGACTGTTACGCGTGAAACATCCAGCACAAAGACTAAAATCATTAAACAAGTTGATCTGTTAAACAAAATATATAAACGTAAGAATATTTAATAAATATTAATTAGTTTCATCTTCAACTCGTAAATTGGAAGTCAGCAATAGTTTCAATGCAAATCTGAGTAGGTATACATAAAAAGTGAAAAGAAAAATATCTGATTATTTTACTCCAAAGTTGGATATGGATTTTTGTCAGAAGGAAGAGAGCAGAATTCTTCTGAAGCCAAATTAGTTTGAAAAAACTCTCTCGGCATCCAAATCAGTGGAACCCTATCCAATGACTCCTCATTCTGAACAACTGTTATCATTCGATCGAATTGATTCTTTGAGATAGATTCAAGATTCAACGTAATTAGCAAACACTAAGAAAGACAAGGCCTTTTTAATTAAAAGAAAATGAATGATTCTTAATTAATATTATTATTATGGAATACACATAGGATTAAATTCAAGATATCATAAGTTTCGTAGCTCAAAAGTGGGACGAGAGACTCTTTGAACAAGCAAAGACCAAGTTCCACTCTGTTGTCGAAATCGATTATACATCTTTAGGTGCTCCATCGATTACATAAGATCCAATTGAAACCTTATGTAATAATTGGAAGATAGTGCTTAGTGGATTCGATAAAACTGTGCATACAGTGAAAGTAACTTAAATTGAGCAGGAGAATGACTTAATTGTAGTGCATTCTTCAGTTAATGCCTATCATTTTATAGCACATGTGGAAGAGGGAGAGGAATGGACACTGAATGGACGTTATGTGCACAAGTTGAAGAGCATTGAGGGAACGCTCAAAATTGTTTACATGAAATTGTAGGTGGATGAATAAATGGGTAACCTGAAGTTAATAATGGAATCAACTAAGAGAACAATGTAATGATTAATAAACAAATATTTCTTTTATAAAAAGAATATAAATTTATTAATTTTTTGTAAATGATATTGATTCAAATTCAAATCTAAGATGATAAAAATATTAAATTTCAACTATGATGTCATTGTTTAATATTATAATTGTGAAGACTTAATTAGTTGCTAATTTTTGCTTGTTATTAATTTTCGAAAAAGGGGTAATTATATATGTTTATTTCTGAAACACTCACTATTAACTAATCTCCTCAACATTAGCTTCAAACCATTGAATAATCACAATAGCGCATCCAGCCATTCGAGAACATTTAATTTGGCTAGATGTCGAAATCAACAAAAATTATCCCAGAGCTCAAAATGAGAAAAGTCTATCTGATGAAGGTTTGGTATAATAGAGTAATTTAGGATAAACTGAGGAAGAAGTATGTTTGGCTGGAAATGAAGATAAATCAATACAAAGAAAAAGATTCAATTTTGCAAGATGAGATGAGTAAGAAATTCCCCCTAACTAATTTAAAGAGTTCTGCAGGATTTGTCTATGCGATGATGGCAACTCTGATCTTATAAGACCTTGTAAATGCAAAGGATCTCTATAATTTATTCATGAGAATTGTCTGAAATTATGGGTCTTAGAAAAGCAAGGGATAGAGAAGGTCTATCAAAATGATGTAATCTCATTCGTATATAAAAAAGTTAGATTGCGAAGTATGTCATTCGAAGTTTTTAATGGAGACTAAATTCTCTAATTAAAGGTAACTGAGAATGTTAAGAAGTGCACCAAGAGCTAGAATATGTTGCTGGACAATTGAAATAATCATGTCTCTAGGGATGCTTGGAACCATTATTGCCTTGATCTATTAGATTGTTGTAAGATTCAAATATTATAAAATATAGAACGGAAAAATAGAACCTCTGATATTGGCAGGCACAACTATATTTGTTATTTTATTGATTCTGATTCTCTCCTTGATTTATGTAAGCTGCGTGGATTAGATTTCAATTGAAGTTCTCGACCCTTGGAGATTCATTGATGTACAAATGGAGAGTGATTCTAAATCTATTTCGATACTTGAATTAGACAACTCAAACAAGTAGACTATTTAGATTATTAACAAAAGTGATTAAAGAAATAATGTGCGCTTTTCCACTATAAATATAATTTAGATACAGAATTGAATTCAAAAGCACTATGTTTATGATTCTATTGTTTTATGCATAAATTATTAATATTGAAGAATAATATGAAAATGCATTTAATTTATGCATTAAAACAAAAGGAATAATTAATTCATATCTCTTAATCAAACAAAAATGATTGAATATAGTATAAAAACAAAGAAGGCCTCAAATTTAAATAAAGGATTCAAATTTGTAGTATTAATGTATGAGATCATTGATCAAAATGCATTATCCCCAAGTCTGAAACAATCTAATTTTATTTCAAGTATTAGTAAGAATTTTAGTTTATATTAGTCTATGGTTAGCCTTAAGAGTATTTGAAATTTGAATTAATGATTATAATTCCGTTTTCATCTCAGAGTAATATCAATAATTTTAATATATTAATTTAATCTAATAGGGTAATGTTATTGTAACATCAAATCAAACAAAATAACAAACAAATTAGGACATAATTAAAAATTCGATGAAGTTTGATAATATAGCATCTAAATAAAGTAAGAAAGAAAGTAATTAAATATAAAAATAATTTAACTATTGTAAAATAAATATCTCAAAATAAAAACTCACAGAACTGAATTCCTTTGACTTAAGTTAATGAGAAGCCAATAAATAAACATCACAAAATTGTTTCCAAGAACTTACTGATAGAGTAACTCATTTTTGAAATTTCTTAAAAACTCAATAAAGAAGTTGCAGTAATCAAATATCGAAATAAATAGTGGAAGTTCCAATTGCAATATTAAATAAGGTATTTAGAATATAGCCACAAATTTGAATCCATGTCTTAATAATTAAAAAGAGTAGTTCAAGAAGGGATATAAATTATAAAAGAATGCCTAATGTAAAGATTATTCAGAAGTGAAATTAATGAAGTACGTGATCATTATTAGACAGAGATTCCATTATTAATCTTATAAATTAAATTTTGGGTACTCTGATATTCTAAGATATGGACTATAATGTACTTTCATTTTCACCTCTGAACAATATCATATATTTGAAAAAAGATCAATAAATAATGATTTACCATAAGGAAAATATATGTTTATAATTATTTAGAATTCAGAAATGATTTAATTTAATGGAAATTAATATATATAAATGTTATCAATTCTATCTATTAGATAGATTATCTTTGATAAGGTCTGCCATCTTTAAAAATAATAGAATGATGTCCCAATAAATGGTTACACTTCCACTCACATCATCGGCCTTATTGATATCATATGAATCTCCACAACTAGATATTGAATCGATACTACTTCAAATTAGTGTAAGTGTCATAGAGCAATAGGAAGGCAAACAAAAAGGAGGACAACGATATGAACATAATCCAAAAGAGGGATATCTTGGTAAATATTGTGAATAGTTCAAACACTATCAATATGCTGGCTGATACAAATAGCACTGCTCCAGAATATGTTATCTTTCTTCTAACAGTTGAGGAGTATAAAAACAAAAAGAATATTAAGCCTATTTAAAAACTTTAACTTACTTGCAAAATTAACAAAGAGCAGCAATCCAATTTAGGAATTGCCAAATGCAACAAGGCAGCCACAAACAGAAGCAAATGATAATGTGAATACAATAAACACTAACCAATTGGTTGGAGACAAGGTAATTTGATTACGATAAATCAAAGCCAGAGTGGCTGTTCCTACACAAATTCCTAGACTTAACCAAAATATCCATCGATATTATTCTAGGAAATTGTCTAATGCAGGAATAGAATGCACAATCCAGACATAGACACCTAAAAGGGAAGTTGTAATTGAAATGCTTACAGATAATGATCATCTACAAGAATAATTTGGAAAACAGGTTTCTAGCATAAATCACTCTGCCATTAAAAGATTAATCGTAGGCATTGACTACTTCTGTGGTTTGTGCTTGTTTATTCCTTGTGGAAAGACGAGGATCTCCAGTTCGAATAGAACTTTCAAATAACATAATAAATTAACAATAATTATTGTATAAAATAATTGAGTAGTTATATAAATCAAATACATTTAGATATGACATAAACTGATTTGGATAGAAACAGAAAGAATCGAATATAGATAGAACAATTGAATCAACAAATAATCTGAGATTAAAGAATGTGTTTGTTGAAATATTCAATAATATTAAATTAATTATCTTAAATATGGATTAGGAAATCAGACCAATGCGTTAAAGTATTCTAAAACGATAATCAACTTTCGATAATCCTAATTACATGGAAGAGAAAGAGAAGCAGCATCAACAGAATTAGAATAATTTATAGGAAGGTTTGCATGTGCAAATAGATAGTAGTGTGAAAATCATCACGATTCCTGATGTTCATGATGTGCAAGTGTTTAAGGAACAGGATGAAAGTATAGGGTTATTATATTGTTTAGTTCATTTTCCATAGAAAGTCAATAATTTGAGTGAAGCCGAACTCATCAAGATGGCATTAAAGTAAAGTGATATATTGTAATAATAGAAAACCTTAGATATGGGAGGAGGACGAATAATGACTGCTATGATTTATATATTGAATGCATATATCATAAATTAGTTGATTTTTGAGACTCCCATTTAAAGTGAAGATTTGAGTTAGGAAAGATCAAACTGAAAAGTCACTTCTATTGCGAGTGTGCCTTCCATTTGAATTCCCTGAAGTTGGATTTCAATCACTTTTGGATTTATAGATTAATTATGAGATGGTGCTTTTTATTATAAATTTTATTTCTTTTTTAATAATTTGTAATTGTTTCATTAAAATGACCATTACTGAATCAATAAATAATCACGAAGACTTTAAGGAGTGACATCAATAAGTTAAGAATAATACTATGAAAGTAATATCATCAATTAAGTTATGGCATTTTTACATCCAACTGTTGCATGCAGCCAACATCAACTGATTACAAGCCCCTTCAATATTTGATGTATCATAATATGGAGAGATGCAATTGATTATTTATTCTTCACTCAAAAATTCAAATAATCCATCACTCCCCAATATTATGGCTTTATCATTCCTTCCCAAATCGAATTACATGATTTCAGGTTTATCACTTACTCCAACTGAATGTGCAATTTCATCCCCAAGTAATCTTGTCATAGCCAAACCAGGAACATTTTGCTTTGTCCACACTCTTAGAGGACCCACAAAGAGACCTAAGCCATTCATCAGGGGATCTATCCTGCCTCCATTAGCCTGGATTCGATTAGCTTCATCTTTGCAACTCGGCTTGTGATCTCTTGACAACGGTTTCAATCTCCATGTTTCATCTCGATTCAACAGTACAGCTCTTGAATCCCCCAGGTTTGCACAATAAAGCTAGCTTTATTAATAAAACAATAACCTTATTATTTTAAACATACACTATCACTAAAGTCGATCCTGAAAAGGAAATATCAATATGACTCTATTGTAACATATCAGACAGTTATTAAATAATGATCATCAACCCTTAAGGAGAACTAAATCTATTGTTTTAATAGTCTACTTTCTCTCGAGCATCATTCTATTCTTGGATACTAACTATGGAAGTTGAGCCTTTACGAATCCACTAACCAAATGTCCATGTTCGCCATGTCCATCACAAACTGCAAACAGATGAATGCATTCATTATTTTCGATCCTCGCACAACACACATAAGTATCCTGATTCACTTTAGAAGCATTGTTTAATTAGAACCCCTTTCTAGATCTTCCTGCATATTTAGCTTTGAATACAAAACTCTCATCGGGAATCAATCTCGATTGGATCTTAACTAATTCTGAATGACATCATTACCCAAATTGCTTTACAATTAGACTTTCTCCTAATGAGTGTCTCTTGGTCTAATTTTAAAGGATGTAACCAACTAGGATTGCGGAGAATTCTTTGATTCTTCAAAACTTATCTATGCTTTTTTCTTCTGAGGAGTAAACGATGGTAGAATAGTTCTGGGAGATGTATGTTGATAGTAGGATGAATTCCCCAAATAATGATTCTTATTCCGAAATGAATGTTCCAGCTTAATAGGAGTGAGTAACAAATGAAACTACTTTTATTATTTGCTCTTGCCAAGATTATATTAATTCATTTTATTGCAATTGATATTTTAATCAAATTATACTTTTCTAATAAACTCTAACAAGTATTATTCCATTAAAATATCTCATCATTAGTTAAATACCCAATAATTTCCTTGTATCTATTCATAATAATTTAATAAATTGGTTTAATTAATTTTGATTGTAATTAACACAGATATATCAAGCTTCAATCTTGTTTATTAGTTCCACAGTATCTCCAGGACTACACAGATTAGCACAGGGATATAAATCTTAAATAGTGTCCAAATTCATTGTCTATTTAAATATTAGTAATTACAAATTTAGTCAATGTTTTCTTCTTTTACCAAGTGATTCTCTTTTTTGGGATATCAACCTCAATTATGATGATGTCTCCAACTCCAAAATCAAATGACTTATGAGCTGAATTCAAGTCTTTCTACAAGTGTGACCATGAGTACGAATTGTTCGATATGAGATAAGACCTAAAATATAGACAGGACATTACCCATGACCAATATTCGTATAATTGAACTTATAATTAGCACTCACTATCACTTCTCTATGGCAAACACCCACTCCAATCCAACCAGCATATTTGATTACTTTGAAACCAAATTTGTAGACTCCATTCCTTGGAATGCAAGGTTCACAAATAGTAAATCTCTGTCCATTGGATTCAGAAGTCTTTTATTCAGCAATCAAGTTCTGTCCTGAGATTGTTATGTTGGCACCCTTAAATTGAGGAGAGAATTGAAATGAAATTGATTGCGCTAAATCAACTGCAGCGATTGGTTGGGCTTTAAACAAATTGCCCAAATTCTCGACTTTTCCATCAAACTCATTTTGCAAGTCTATCAATTAGTCATTCAGCTATCCGAATTGAGTTTTACATGCATTCATTATTGCAGAATCAATACTCTGCCTACTAGCAATTCCATTGCTGAATGCGAATTAGTCCAGAATTTATCTAAATAGAGAATTTGAGTACTGGATATTCTTTTTGTATTACGGGAAATCGGTGTAGCTGTTGACTAAGTCTAGAAGATAATCTAATGGGATCTTTGAATTGGCAAAAGCCTTAAGTTAATTTTTGAGATCCAAGTAATAGGAGTCAACCTTCTTCATTAACTACTTCGAAGTATTCTCCAAGGACTCGTTGAATTTTTGGACCTAGTTGTTTAGAATTAGGTATGCATACAGTTCGCAAACACTCACTATGTGATCTATCTAGAAAGAGAGACACGTCTAAGATGCTATAAGCACTTTATTCATTGGTGTTATTATTCGCAGACTCAACTGATTGCAACATGATTTTGAGAGGCAAGGTTTGATGGTTCTGATGTTCTGCATGTTCACAAAGGGCTTTGATTTAATGAAGTTGATATTACGACAAATCAATAAAGTTTCATTGCATTATTTATCAGCGCATACAATGGAAAGCATGTGTCCATTATGAGTGGGACAAGGGAAATAGTTCATTAGAGATATATATAATTTAAACAAATTAGTATTTTACTCAGTATTACACATAATCACTAAAATTTAATAATACTCATTTTCTTGGTGGTTAGCGTTTTTGAGGTTGATTGGAACGAGGAGGTGGCCCAGATTATTAAGGTTTATGTTGTTGCGGCTTATTCTAAGGTTTATGCTATGGCTTTTGTTAAGGTCTAGAATTGGCTTTCCTTTTATGTTTATCTACACAATAGGAAGATAGATAATACCAGAATCTGAATCCTCGTCTTCGTCATCCTCATCCTGATCACTAATTTTATTGAGATCCAAAACATCAGATAGATCCTCATCGTCATCATCATCATCACCATCATCATCATCTCCATCCTCGTCATCTTCTGTGAAATCAGAATCATCATCCCCATCATCACCCTAAATGATTAATAAATAGATATTACAGATTCCCCAGGTGAGAATTCACTATCACCAGCCTCTGGATCATCCTCTTCATCACCTTCTTCCTCACTCTCTGCCAGAATATTGGTCCATCCTCCATCTTAAACAAATCCTGGAATGTCCTTCTAGATTTATCCCAGAACATTCTTCCAAACCAAGTTTTAACCCACTTCGAAAAAGAGAAGGTTCATCTAATATAGAAATAATAAAATACTCTATCTAACCAATTCTTGACTCCTTCCAGATCTTTGATATCAATACTCTCAATTCTGAGTACTTGTTTATCGTAGTTCTTGAATACAAACACAAGATCAAAGGATTTAATGCCTGGAATGATACGTTCGAAACAACAGATTTCTACTTCATTTAGTGTTAAAATAAAGAATGGACTCTCAACAACATTCATCAAAGTATCACGAGTTGGTTATAAGAATAATCTGGCTCTGTTCCAATTACCTTCAAATCCCAAATCTCTAAATGGTTTTTCAAATGATATCTTATAATCTGCTCCCAACTCCTCAATAGTCTTAATGAAAACTTCAAATTCCTTAGCCATCTTTCTTCTGTGCATCCTCAATCTTTCCTCCTCCTCAATTTCATCCTCATCATTTCTATTAGTCTTCTTTCTCCCTTCCAAATGTTCTACTGCACCACCAACTTCACAATAGAATTGAACATCATGTGTCTTACGTTTGCCCAATACGATTGGAGAATGCAAATGAAAATGCAAAGCAGCTATTATATCCTATTCTGGACTTTAATATATGTAATGCTTAATGTTTTTGAATACAATGTCCAATTGTTCCTTATTAGAATGGATATAACGAAATCCATTGGTATGCACTTCTAGAATTCCTGCTGCCTTACCAGACCCAAAAGTAGGTCTCACCTTCAAATCCTTAAAGATTGGTTTTCTACCTCCTTTATTAATTATCAATGGTTCCGTCTCTCCTACATTTTGCTTCTCTCTCTCCACCTACTACTCAGTCTTTACTTTCTTTTGTAATGATTTAATTTATAGAATCAAGTTCTGTGGACGATCAGACTTCTTAGATCTATATTATAACTCCTTAATGAAGATGGTTTCACCATCAACCTTTGGAAACTGAATCTATCCAGCTGTAGTCTCTGAAGTGAAGAAGTTAATTCTGATTGATGATCCCATCTTGCCCTCATCAATTTTACTCACATTCTTTATACAAGATACATGGAATGGTATATGAGTTCCCATCAATGGTACCAAAAGAGCACACTTTTAATTGTCAATATAAATCTATCCCTTTTAGAGTTCTTTTGGATATTGCTCTGGTCTTTAGTAACATAGCAATTTGTCCAATTCGCAAAGCTTTGACTTCTTATTGATTTTAAACAAATTAATCTTATTCCAATCTTTATCTCCAATTCTGTCTATTTATCCTTTGCCAATTTCTCCTAGTGAATCTGTCTCTATTTTTCATTCTCTCTTTGAATCTAGATTTATTGATTACGAGGTCTTGCTCGTATGGGTTTATCCTTATCAGTTTAAACTGGAGCTGGTTTTCTCTCAGGCTCGTCTTCCTCTTACAATTGATAAGATATTTATTTGTAAGCCTTTGGAATTTGTTAGGTGGTGATGGTGGCAGCACCATTAGTAATTACAATTACATCCCCCACTTAAATAGTATAGACAATATTTTTTTATCCGTTAGGAACATTCTCCATCACCACATTGACAAAATAGACTTCCCCTTTGGCTACCACATGAGTGGATTTCTCATTTATTACCAAATTGGATTCCTTTAATTCAAGTCCGATGCCGTATCCGAGTGAATTGGGCAATTGTAAATTTAATAAATTGAGCTCCTACAATTTTTGTTACAATAATTGAAGGGCTTCCTTGAACACCGAGTTTAGAGTAGTGCCTATTGTCATCAATGTTATGATTTTGTTTTGGACTTCCAAAATGGCATTATAGAGTTTCTTCTAAATTTCAGTGGGATTTATAAAGAGTGTACGGATACAATTGGTGTTGTACTCATTGACTTAGGTACCGAGTTGGATTATTATGACATCTGATGAAAGGTAATCTTTGTTGGGTCCTTCCACCTGTTAGTAATTGCCTCCACTCTGTATTATTGGAGTATAAGCGAAATCATAGAGACCGTCTTGCAATCCAATCTCTTTCATGACTTTTTGCTTATCGTTTTCCAAAGACTGCTCCACCTTCTTGGCCAAGTCCTGATGAGTGATTCGTGTGCCCACATCTATTGAATCTTCTATCTGTTTGATCAATTTCTTAAATAGGCGGGTAGTCAATTGTGAAGATTGTTAAATAAAACCCTACTCCTAGTCATCTTTAACTGCTAACACATCACCAATCAATTGAGTGGCATCCACTATTTGTTACCAACCCTTGTACTCATACCATTCCGCTGCCAAACTCCCTGCCTATTTCTCAGTAGTGGGCATCCCCAACTTCACATTTCCTATTTTCTATCGAATCTTGTCGAAGGCGTCCTTGTTGTCATTCATCTTCTTGTAAAAATGAACCTCAAATTTCCCACTTAATTTGTGCTTGGTCTCTTCCATCATCTGAACTAGAAACTCACTAGATAATCTTACGTTTCTTATCACTTGCCAAGTAAAAAATCTATTTCTTCGTGGCCAAAAACACTGTCTCGATCATATCGTATCCGAACAGCCAAACAAACAAGGCCTTGGTTTTCGGTTTGATCGATCCGTCCTCCTTTCCAGATAATATACAAATTGCTGGAATGTCCTATTTCATATAGAAATTTCATATACATCATTGAGTCTGCTCACCAATTATTCCAAATGTCTTTAGAATACATCCGCTATGATCTTTTTATCCATTATTTAATTAATTTAATTCATGCAAATAAATTTTTATCATGTTTTACTCGACCATTCTAATACTTAATTAAATAAGGCCATTTATTTGACTACTTTTCAAACATTCAAAACACTTACATTACAAATAAATATTTAAATCCATTAATTTATAACAAAACCCGCTAAAATTCTGATCCCCCTCCTAATTCTATTAATCCCATGAATCCAACACATTCTTATCAAATTAAGAGAGTAATTTGAATCAGTATCAATCAGGCCTCATTATATGATCAATTAATTAACATTTTAGTTTTTTTTCTACTATATATAATTAAACAACGAGTTTCAAAGATTTCATAGCCCTACCACCATTAACTTTACAGAACAAAGAAATCCATCTAGCAAAACTTCAAAATACAACACTTTACACACTCAATATACAAATTAAGAAGGTTTATCAATGATTAATTCAAATTTCGAATTAACATTATTGGGTAATCATAAAGAGGAAGCCCCTTTGTCAATATGATCTTCATATATTAATGATGGAACACCTCAAACCATTAACCTGCATATGGTTGTATCATAGTAATTTCAGTGCATCCATAAAAACCAGAAAAATTGATTCTCCCTCAAAAATGTGAAAGCTGTTCATCAACCCTGTTATTGGTTCTGGATTCAAATATCTTGTATTTCGACAGTACTAATCTTGTTAATTAGAGAATTTTCATAATCATCATCAGAGAATCTAAATTACTAACTCTTAAATTTAGAAGACTACCAAGAATGCTAAAGAAGGATCCTGTTGTCTTGGCCAAATTTCTATTGTTTATGAGTTTTCTTTTGTTTTAATAGTTTAATTTACTAATTATATGGTAACAACTTTATGTTTTGATTCTAAGAAATAATTAGCACTGTAATCAGGTTATCTTCAATTCCACAAGTTGAAGATAAAAATAGAAGGATTGCTTTTATTAATCCTAGAAGTTTGTGACATTATTAGAGGAAAATTAATTATAGAAAGTGGAATATAAAACTCATATCTTGAGATTTAAATTGCAGTTGAGAGTGAAATTGACGAGTACACAATAGAATTGGTCTGGATCACTGATAGCAGTGAGGAATAGGTCGTGGATTTGGCGATTAAATATTAGGAATTGTCATATTGACATAGTTGATATAATATATAACAAATTTGATTAATGATGATTTATTTTTAATGAATATTCAAAGTTAAAATAATAGTGCTGGCTATATTTCATCTCCAGAGCATTCTTGGCGTAAGAATAAATAAGTGATGGATGACGAATTTGAGCCGCAGGATAAATAAATGCTAGATGAGACCAATTCAAAATTTTAGAGTCAATGCTTAATTGAGGATCCACCTAGTAAGTTCATTCAATGATAGTGTAGTGTAAAATGAAAGCGTTCTGTCTCAAAACTCATTTCATTATGATGAGCTGCAACAGATGATGCAAGCGGAAATCCTCAGCCCCTCAAAATTGCTGAGAACAGGCAACGAGCCTAAAAGCACCTTATCTTTCGATATCAAGCTAGAACAAACGTCGATACAAGAGGAGCCTATAGTGAATTAGAGAACAAGGAGGAAGGCGAGCAAAGCCAATTACAATGTAAGAATAATCGTTTATTTAACCCAAGGTTGACGACTCTCCTACGATGGACTCTGAAATTAAGCCTTGTCATTGTTCGAAAACAAATTGTTTATAACTATATTGTTCTTGTTTTCACAATAGGAGATAGTGTACACAAGAGTGCAAATGTTCGGAGTGCTTTAATGATGGATAACATTCGGATGAAGTTCTTAAGGCAATAGAATAGATAAAAATCAAGGAATAAAGGGCATCGCATCATGATCTTGATTCATTTGACACAAGATAGGTGTGGGGATGTAAATGCAAAAAAACTTAGTGCATTAAAGGATATTGCGAATGTTTTATCAGACACAAAAAATGCAGTTCCCACTGCCAATGTTCTAATTGCCAAAATAAAAAATAAAAAACATCAATAAACAAGAAAATTAAAAAAATATGATTAATTATCTATATAATTAATTTTCTCTTGATGCACTTAATCGTAATAGATCACATTTAAATTCTCTCAATCATTAATGTATTCTATTTTGATGATTTTTAAATACAGAATCAATTGTACTGATCATACATTATTAATTATGAGAGCGAAATCTCCATCAATTTGGGAAGATTGAATATATTAGATAACGGAAAATAATTAGTTTCACAATACAGGATTCATTTTAATTGAAAGACCAACGAATAGTGATAGGAACACCAATATAACCCAATATAATGGTTGTTGTATGGATGATTAACCGAAGTCAGATGAAGTATATAATATTTATTTATTTGAAATTGTTATTTTAATTCAATGACCGAATTGAATGAGGCTAAAATAATGAATTCTCACTCTTTCAATTATATCAAGAACTAAGAAGCCAAGAAGAATGATGCGGCTGAAGAGTAGAATCTACTAACTACGCAGAAAAGAGGACAACCCAAAATTAATATCAATCGTTTGCCTCCAGCCTTTGCAAACTAAAACAAAGTAATCCAATTCCACTAGATAACACGTAGAGAAAGCATGTAGAACCCTTGATAATTAAAAAGGAATAGAAACAATAGGTACAACAAAATATCCACAACATCGAGGCTATGCAAGAGTACAAATAGGTGAGCCAGATGCTAAGTCCCCTGAAGGCATTAATTATTCATCAAATTCTAGCGTGAGAACAACAATCATTTGAAGAATCCATTCCCACACTTTCGTTAGTTTATGAAGAACCAAAAGAGGATTCATGAGGAACTGTCCTTGAGCATAAGCACTTTGGTTCAAAGTCAAATAAGGATAGAAGACATGATCACAACAGGAACCTTGCGTTGTAAGTTTCTCTATCTATATATTCTTTGCAGCATATGCAGATTCCAGTCCAGTCAAAAAAATGTTGCATGCTCCCACCATGAAGCTCTATGTCGTCAAAGAAGTACATCTTCTATTTAACTCTAAGGAACCCTTACATAATAAGGAAATTCGTAAAAACCTAAAAGATTGGATCTCATTTTGGTAGAGTAAATGCTCCAATTCAATATAACATGTTTAAATCTACTCAACTTTCTGGAGTACACCTGAAGGTTACGTCTCAATTGTGATGGAGTACATGAATGGGGGATCCTTACAGGTCAGCATTGTCTTCATTATTAGAACCTACTAGAGAGCATGGGTGTCTTACCTGAAAGAAGTATCAAACAATTAGTCTAACCGATTTTGTATGGGTTGCAAAGAATCCATCAATCAGGTGCTTAATGTCATGGAGCACTTGGACCATCACAAATCTTATTTCTAAGAGATGGCACAGTCAAACTCAGTTAAGGATTGCAATACAGAGCCTAAATTCAAGGAAATTCAGCTTTCAATCAATACATCCTCGGAAGAGCCAAAGATTCCTAAAGGTATCCAGTAATTAAATTCTAGTTTATATGATCCATCCATATTAGAGACACCTTCCTTATGGAGCAAAGCACCTAGTGAGAAATATCACTTCCCCATCTAAGATGATTTTATTTTAGAACGTGCAAATGACATTTGGAAACTTGGATGGCTAATATTGAATTGTGCTATTGGCACTATGGAATTCCATCCAAAAGCCTAACAAATATATGAAGGTTCACGCATAATACTTGAAGAGATTACTAAATATGTTGATCAACTAAAAGACACTTGCTGTTTATTACATAGTGAACTTAAGGTTATCCAATTTGTTGAGTAGAATTCTAAAATATTCAATGAACCTACTAGGATTACCATATTAGATTTATTGCCACCCGATAAATTTAGTGCTGAATTCATTCAATTTTTATGTTCTACCCTTAAAATCGATCCCAGGCAAAGACTCTTTACTGAGTAATTATTATAGCATTCCTGGTTAACAGGAGGTAAAGAATGCAAAGGTAATTAATCAATATTAAACTTAATTAGGTCCAAATGTACAATTAAAAGAACTAATTTCCATCTCCAATGCTTGGAATACCTTCTTGCCAGAAGAATTTCAAGGACAAGGAGCTTAGAAATTAGAAAGACTCTGTGATGCATTATGTTTGGTTTTATAAAATTCTGAAAAACCTACTGTCAATAAGTAATTAATTTCTATTTATTAACTAAGAATGCATCTCTAGGAAAATAGTCCAATTATCAAAGAACTCTCCCATGATATGGGTATCAATGCCAAAGTAATAAGTGAAAGACTAATTTCAATTTTCCAATCGTTAATTTGATATTAAAATGTTTATTGAATTGTAAATTAATATAGTTATAGTATCAATAATAGATCTCTAAAGATATTAAGTCTATTCTCAGATAATCACCTTTGAATACAAGCCAACATGTTATATCTTACTTTAGTGTACATTTCCACCCCTCTACAACTTAATGCCAAATAACATTCTTAAATATGGTCCTCATTTACCCTAATTTTTCAATTAATTCTTCTCTAATCTATAAATTTTGAGCATTATATTATATCCCTTCTATAATATGGCTATTAACTTAACATTTCGCAAGCGCAGCTTTCTCCTTCATTCCTTTATAATTCTAATCTAATCTCAATTAGATTTTGTTTCTTCTAAAAAAAAGCATAATGCAATTTTTTAATAAAAGGTAAGATATTCTTATAAATTTCTATTATCAAAAATAAAGAAAAACCATAAAAGTCTAGAACAACATAAGTAAAGATTCTTCTCTTGGTTTAAAACCCAATTAAAGAGTCAATTTAATTCCTGACTTTATAGAAAAATCCAGATTTCAATTAACATACATTTAAAATAACTTATCCAAAAAAAATTAAAAATGATTCCTAAACCTTTTATTCAACTTCTTTATATCTAATAACTCTTCCTAAGTATAATTTAAATTCTATTAAAATTTTTCATCATTTTATCATTCTTATTAACTTTCTTTTATACAATTATGCCTATCAAAAATACCCCACCCCATGATAATTTAACAATTTTAAATATTCAGGTCCAAACTATTGATTTCCAACCATACTAATCTTAGCTTAAGCTTACTTGAAGATTTGTTAATTTTATTTTTAGGTTATCATTTTAATTATGAATTCAAATAAAGGATTTTTACAGAGAATCTTGAATGAAGTCCTCTCTTATCATGTATTTCTTAGGTTTTTGGTAGATACCAACATAAACATTCAAATTAAAATGATTCTTAATTATGTAGCCAACTGCAATAATCGATAATAAAATCTAATATTCTATATCATCCATTTGATGTTCTAAATGCTAATAAGAATTAAATTAACACTCGTAAAAACTCATAAAATATCTATGATATGTAGGGGAATGACAGATTTCCAGTTTTCATTTTATGGCAGTTATGCACTGTGTTTTCCTTTATTTTAAATTAGATATGTCTATTTACAATGAGTGTTGTAGGAATATCCTTTATAATTCTATATGACTTTCCATAACTGAATAAAGGAAATAAGAGCATTATTCTAGCAATTTGATATTGATATCAATAGGCAAATGATAGTTTGGTGACAACATTATTTGTAACTAATTAAATCATTTTCTTATGCTGTTCTGCAAAGGAGTTAATGAGTTTCAAATAAATTATGCCATTAGAGAGCCTAATGGAGTGATTTATTGAGTTTGATAATCAAGGAGTCAACATCCTAAAGTAATCAATCTTTAATCTAAATCCTTAATTGTAATCTCATCAATTATTTGATGTATAATTATTATTAAATAATTAATGGAACTACGGCCAGTGACTAATTTTATTAAACAGAAATACCTCATTAATGAGAGAGACATATAATAGGATGCTTTCTCAAATAGTATCAACATTTATTTCAAGCGAACAAAAAAAAGGATTTATGGTTTCACTCTAATAAGTATCATATAATTTGTGATTGAAGGTCTATTTTTTTTGCTTTTACTTATTCCATCGATAGTGTTATAATAGGATTCTTAGGAAGTGGTTGTGTTTCCGTAGAAGGGAGGATAATTTACAGTCAAGGAGTAGCTTGATCCTCCAATAAGTTTGGAGATAGTTTCAAGTGATTCCTATTTATTGTCTGATGTTCAACTTTATTTGGATGGTCAAACAATAGAGTAATTTACAATTGAAAAGAAATTGAATACTAATTCAACACACAAAATTACTAGCAATAAATCCTTTAAAATTAGTATAAATTTAATGATGGTAGCAGTTAGATTAATTTCATAGTTTAGCTTTGTGCCCAGGTCGTATTTAATTATTTAAACAATAATGGTCGTTCTCTCATTATTGTATCTGATTTAAGAAATTTTGAGAATGCCAAAAATTTGATTATATATTTGTTTAATATGTACTTACTATAAAACAAAATTCATTCCTACTTCTTTGACTTTCCATCCTTTGGTTTTCCATCCTTCTAGCCAAATTAAGTGATATTGAAGAATAAGAAAATCACCAAAATTACAATATGAGGGATCCAATATACACTGTTATGCAACTCTATTGCCTTTTCCCATTTTAAGACACGAACGGCTGTTGCGAAATGATCAAATGTCAAGATGCCGAAGACCCAAGCAATGAAATGTCTAACAGATTATGGGATACTAAAGAATAGTAGACAGAATTTACAAGTAAAATCTTCTTTGAGCTTTGTAAAAGTATTTGTACACTTGTCCTGTGATGGCCCAAAAGATGAAGAATAGATAGTAACTTAGATAAAAGCCATGCCTATTGATGGACATAATATTTACCAAAGACTGCTGATCATAAAGACTAAGTAGAATGTTAAACTACCAAATCTCTTTTGAAGACGATCATAGAAACAATATTTCAACCAATTTTGGATATTGCAATTCCATTTCTACGTTTTGATGACGACATTCTTCTCTAATTCAAAGGAGTAATCAAAAACAAGCCATAGATCATTTTTTTCTATTTATTGGTTATATCAATTTTACTTGTCTTATCATTATAGGTCAATCCCATGGCATCCATTCCTGCTTAAGTAAAGTAGAAGGCAGCAATATAAGTGAATCTTGCACAGGGAGTGATTAAGAAGGTCATTGCAAATTTGAACCATAGGCTGTATTGATTTCTCCACTCCTCGGAATAGTACCAATCTGTATCAAAATAAGGTCTTATAAGCAATTCTGCCATGCTCACTGCCAAAGCCTTGAGGAATGAGATCAATGCAAATTTAGGACTATAATGAGTATAGTCAGTCTTTCTTTCGATGAGACTAACAAATGCATAGTAGGGGATTGGTGCCACAACCAAATTGGGGAACATGAAAATGTATGATAAATACATCATAAAGGATGTTTTCCCTTGTACTTTTCCATCTTATTTGTCACAAGCATAGAAGATGTATCTTGCTGTCAACAACATTTGAATTGCATTGTAGTCCATTCTCCAACTCAAGTACTGATAGATGAGTCGATAGATGTGCACAAAGGAGAGAATTGCAAATGCAACGATGGACACCGGTAATGCGCATTTTTTGAAGATTTATGCAATAAAGTAAACTGCTATTGTCCAACCCAACATCAATGGAAACCACTCCTTGCAAACAATCACGGAAAAGAAGACCCCCATGAAAAGGTTGAAATACAGTCTTCCGGTTGGACTCTTGATGTAATGGAACACGAATCCAAGGGGAGTACAAATTATCTACAATCATTGTATGATAGTACCATATAAAGAAGAATTACGAAAAGGTCAATCTCAAAATTGATGAAATTGATCTTTTGCAATTGCTCTTCTAATATATTGACGAATTGGATGATCATAAATAAATCAATAAAATTAATTAATATGTCATAATTAAATATCTATTCTCTTTATAATCATACGATTACAAATCATTGTTGATGTCATCAAAGAGATTGCTTTTTGGAGTGGAAGCTATTGTTGTTGCAATTAGTAAAAATGCGAATTTGAAGTTAAATTTAATGTAAATGCTCGAGCTAAGAGTACGATGATTATTTATAAGTCAATTCTGCATTTCAAATAAAAAGTACAAAAATAATTAATTGTATTTTGATAAGACTTTATGAATTCTTAACTTCCAGTAAACAGCTTTGATTTTAGAAGTAAAAGTATCCATAACAGAAACACTTTCTTCTTTTTTGAACATCCCACTCGAAGGAAATCCTGCTATTGCAATCATTGTGGCAAAAAAAGTCACTTCTAGTAACAACATGCCAATTTACCGACACAAAAAGAAATTGATTATCAGATTCAAGTAGACAATCTAAGGAAATAGAGTTTATGTGATGAGATCAGGACTGAAATCCCCAGTGAATTGAGTGTTATGGAAAGTGAAAATGGAAGACTTTTTAGAAATTCTAATCGATCGATTTCCATCGTCAACCAATATATCAAAAGATCCATGAACTTCGATCAATTTAGTCTTGAAACCACCACTAAATTAAAGAGAAGGAGCTGTGAATGTTCAGAATGTGGGAATCCCACATCATTCTAAAGAAAACATGAAGACTTATCTCTACCTAAAAGGGATAAAAAAATGAAGCAATTCTTAATCAGGAAACATCGCAATTTGATCAAAGGAACATCCAAATAATTCCAATTCAGTTCAAAAAAAATAATAGTATAAAAATCAATCATTTCTTCTCCTCAAAGTTAGAAATCATTCTAAATTAAATAATTTGAATAAGTCAGAAGAACTCAAGATATAAACAAATTAGTGCTCAATCGAATATCAACAAGAGACTTGGAATAGACAAAATAAGTTTAAGGTAAATATTCTATAATTAATTCTTGCAAACAATTGGACTCTCCCCAATTCTCTCAAAGCAAGTCTCAGAGACAAATATTACATAAACCAACCATGTCCTTCAGCACCATATCTACTTCCAAGTGGAAGTCCTATAAGAATACCAAAGATTTCCAATGAGATACTTCAACAATTGATACCCCTTTTTTGATCTATAATTTATTAGTTATTTAATCAATTATATAGCTGATTGTCCAATATTTAGAAATTATAAACATTACAACAGAACTCATAGGAACTATCTTATTGTATGTTTGTATCTTAAATATCTTCACTCATTGCTTTAAATGATCAACAAAAAGGCGTGTGTATATATATAAATCAATAATTTTTTCATTTTACAGGGACAATAAGTTTAGAGAGTAATTACTTCAATTCTTGAAGTTTTTATCAAATACCTTTAGATACTAAAAAGAGTTTAGAATTAATTCAGATATTTATAGTTTTAATTCATTTATATTACCAACAGTTCATTTAAGTATTGGATTTAACAAAGATGAAATGTAGTTACTCCTTTAATATTTAGGTTTAAGTATATATGAACAGTAGATGAAAGGAATATGAATTATTAGATGACTTAATCCTTAGAATATAACTATTAAATATTATAATTAATGAATTCCAACAATAATAATAACAATGACAGTTCAAGTGAGGATGACATGTAAGTGTACGAAACTCTAACAAAATTACCTCCTGCAAATGATTTGCTTCCAAGGAAATTGACTATAGATATTGATGTAAAATCATTATACCCACTTAAGTGAATCATAATATTTATACATTTAGAGCTCTTCCTTAATTTTGCAAGACTTTTGTCTCTTTTTTAGAGGAATCTACACATCGTCATTGTGCTATATAGGAAACTGCTGTTGGTGATGAAAATAGAACTTTACTTGATTTTTACGATGAAAATAAACAAAATCTTGTGTATAAGCGATTTGATCAGTTGGATTTAGGAAAGCAGGACAACCAATGACAGAACCTACTTTGCTACTCTAATAGCCAACTTTAAAAGGTATATCATAATGCTAAAGAAAGAGCATAGCCAAAAGTCTTTTTTAGAGGAGAAGCACTTTTTGATTAGAAATTAACATCCTGTGCATCCGATTAAATTCAATTTGATTCCAATTTTGAATCTGGCAATCTCTTTTGTGCATTTAAGAAATCGGAAAATGTGTATGATTTGATCATTTAAAATGATATCAATACCAAGGGGCAACACTTAGTGGTTCTTCTTTTAGCGTGACTGGAGCTAAGGCAGGATAAACCATATAATTTAATTTGCTAAATCATGTATAAGATTGTTTCTCATAATAATCTAGTTGAAGAGCGGTAGTCTTTTCAATGAGGGATTGCAACCAGCTGTCTATTCTCTTAAGGATAACCAAATAAACGGATCTGAATGGTGCAGGGATGGATTCAACATCAGCTATTTTAAAAGTCCATTCATGAAGGAATACCCACTCTCTTTGAAAAAGAAATATTATCAGTTGAGATTTCATTACACATTCAAACACAATGATGACAAGGTCTTCTTTGCTCATTCCTATCCCTACACTTATACTAATTTATTGGAGTCCTTAATACACAATTAGATGATCAAGAGAGAAATCAGTAACTGATATTAATAAAATAGGTATCTATCTCGCAAAGTCCTATGCTAAACTCTTGGGGGCAATACTTGTGAAGTATTGACTATCACCTCAAACTCACTATAACGCAGAGCCTACAGAAAAGGCGTTGTCTTTCTGGCCAGATAGCATCCAGGTGAACCCTAGGGCTCTTATGTGATGCAAGGAATTATTGATTTTCTTACTTCTAATAATCCATAGGCTGAATATTTGAGATAGAATTGCATCTTTAAGTTGTTTCCCATGATGAATCCAGATGGAGTTGTCAATGGAAACTATAGATGCGGATTAGAAGGCGGCGATTTAAACAGAAGGTGGAAAAAACCCAATAAATATCTACATCCCAGTGTCTACTATGCTAAGAAGTATGTCAAAGGGTTTAGTAAAGAGAGACAAATCATACTTGTCATTGATTTGCATGGTCATTCAAGAAAGTAATATTAAGTGTCTATCAATTTAAGACAATCCTCCTTTGTTTATGGATGTGCCTATTCTTCGTAAGTTAAAACTATTGAACGAGTGTTTGCTTTGTTGATGGCGAAACTAAATCCATTTATGGACTATCCCTCTTGTACCTTTAGGATTGAGAATGCTAAAGATAAAACAGCTAGAATTCAACTCTGGAGAGAATTGAAAATCAACTGGGTTTATACTTATGAGTGCAGTTTTTATGGATAATAGAAACAACATTACCAGATCAAAGATTATCTCAATTGTGGTCTTAGTATTTGCAATGCGCTGTCATAAATTGTTAAGGACACATCAAAAGAATTCACCAATTAAGCCAATGTTCCTGATATTTAATAGCAAATGCTTGAGGAATTAGGCAAGATGCCATAGACTGATGACTAAGACAATGGATCGGATTCTAGTTAATCTGAAGCTGAATTATCAGATGATGAATTAGTTCAATTATTTTAACCAAAGACTTACTCAACCAAACAAAAAAACTTTTTAAAACAACAAGAATTAAACAAAAAGAAACCTTAACCGGTTAATCCGAAATCAACTATAAACTCTTAAAAAGCCTCTATTTTACAAGAGTCCCCTTCTAAGAATTCAGATTAAAAACCTCCGATGAGTAGTTAGAAACCTAAGAGTACTTTGTATAGGATCCAAGCTCCCTAGAGATAAAAGTAGATTGAGTAGACAAAATTGCCTGATCCACCACTGATGGTTGACAAATCAGTATAAACTGATGATTGGATGTATAGATAATGGCTAATTCAAATGGGAAAGATGAAGAAACAACAAGAATTTCAAAGTTTTACTCCCACAAGAAATATATATAAATCTTCATCACAATCAGTAACTAGATTTATTGTGAAAAACTCCTCAACTAAAAACGATAGAGGTAGGGTTGATTCAATTTCACTTGTAACATCAGGCTTGCAAAATAAATTAAGTAAAATTTATATAACAATTAAGTTTCTTCTAGTCAATAGCGGTAAATGATGAGATACTCTGGCAGTAACTTTATGTCTTGATATTTATTATTATTATAATTTTGTTCATCTCACACCTTTATTCATCAAGTTTCTCTTTATCTCAAATGATTTGCATTTAGGAGATATCAAATAGATATTTTGATTATCAACAATTTATTAGTAGAGAAACTTACAGATATATTTCAAACTAAGGAGATATGTAAATTAATCATTAATTTTCATTTTTCTAAATTACGAAGTTAAATATTAGTAGAAATACCAAAAAATCATTATATAAATAATTAATCAACTACTCAAGTCTTTTTTTCAATTTGCTGATATTTTTGTTTATCACTTATATGACTTTGTGGAATAATCTAAATTTAGTTCTTTGATTAGGTTTTATTTATTTTACACAATTTCATTTCTTTTAGGGAAATATATTTGAAACAGAAAAATTGAATGAAATATAAATTTAAAATTTCTAAATAAATTCCAAATTTCTGAAATATTCCTAATCTTATATTATTGTTAACCATCCTTTTTATTCTGTTATTCTCTTTAATTTAAATATAATCCTATTTATAGTGATAAGTTTAATAATTTTAATAATATAATGCGCAAAGTAATTCTCAAAGCAAAAATATATAGTTGTATCCTTATAATACTTTCAGGAACAGTTGCTGTTCTAGCTTGTATATTGGCTGGCTAGGTGAATGATTAAGAAGTAAAAATTTATGGAACTCTTTATGCAATGGCAGCATTAATAACTATGTCAATCAACATTTATATATTCTACTAATTGCAAACTATTAACCTGATCAATGCAGAAATCAATAATTTCAATTGCCTCTCTTCATGGAAAATATTGCACAAGTCAATTTTAAATAATTCAGATTTGTGGTTTGCAAATTATGTATTAAAATGCCTTATCGTCATTATTTTTCATAGTACTATGAGTTTTATAACAAGATTGAAATATAGGGATGTTGCTTTTGAGTTCACCTAAAGTATTTAATAATTAAACTAGATATGTCAATTTCAATTGTACTGTTTATTCTCAGCTTTATACTCGGTTTCGTAGTGTAATTACTTTTTGTGATCTAATTGATAACAATGTTGGCTGATTTTAAAGAGTATGCAAAAGAAACAGTCTTTACTTTTCATATAAAGGAATCACTTTAAGAAGAGAAACAATATAAAAGAGGAATTACATTAGTAGCAATCATCTTTATTCTTGGTTCAATTGCATATTATGCAGTAAAATTAGCCTTGTACATAATGATAGCCAAAAACAGTGAAGAAATTAATACTAAAGTATTTTCCATAATTGTTTCTATCCTAAGTGTTAGTTGCATGATATTGTGCTCCAGAATATACAAATAACTTAAAATTATTTATAAACAAATACCAGACCCCTAAGATGTGATAATATATAATATCAATATCCCTTGTTTTACTGGATGGTTCATTTTGGTAAGATCGTTGGTGTTTTGTAAGAAATTCAGATTTTGGAGAAACTTAACGTTTATTTTATTGTACATCTAATCTATTTATGGATTAATTAAATTTCCTTTTTATCAGATATATGGCGTGACCATAGATCAAATGTACAGTCTTGATTCTTATCTATATTGTGATACAGCTATTTTGGTTGCTCTAATGTTTTGGTAGTTCATTGAGCAGTTTGCTAGGGTCATTCATCAAGTCAAGAGAAGATACCTTGCATATTAATTCGAAGATCATAGAGTATTTAAATTAATTAATGATAGTAAAATATAATTCTCCCAATCGCAATAGAAGTTCAATAAGACGAATTAGGGAGAATCCATCATCAACAAATGATAGATAATTTAGTAGAAAATGCAACAGAAGATTATGGAGAATGCTGCTTTTGTTTGGATAAAATCTCAAAAGGTTAAAGGGTGCATAAATTAAAATGTCACTCCTCTCATGTTTTTCATTATTATTGTATGTCTAAATGGTTAGCTAATCATAATAATTGCCCATTGTGTTAATAAACTATCAATTGAAATATATTTATTTTTATTAAATTATATGTATATAATATAGATAATTAGAATTTTTTCATAAAATAATTAATTTTAACTTTTGATAATTTATTCACTAATATTTATACAATAAGATTGAATTAAGGAGAATATTTTAATTTGAAAAACAATAATTAAAAGCAACTGAAGAATAAAAGGTACAACCTCAAAGAAAATCCCTTTTGCAATACTAGTTAAGTAAACTAAGAACCAAAAGTTGTAATAAGAACCTTGTTATTTTTCAACATTATTCGTTCAACTTTTTAATAAAAGAATTAAGGAACCTTATTTCATTATGATTAGCTAAAATCAGAATACCTAATCTGAATGAATAATGTAAAATGAATTTAGTGAAATTATAGTGAATAAATTCTTGGCCTTATTTCAATAAGAATAAATCAAAATCTCTCAATGTTATTAATATGGAATTAATTTTGCATTTGAAATATATATATATATATATATATATATATAGTTTATTTATTTTATTCATAACCATTTTATTAGATTGTAAACTTATTATGATATAAATAATTCTGATTGTTATAAATTAGATATTGTATTCATCATTTATTATATATGGATATCATACAAAAAGTCATTGAGATTATACTTTTTTATGCTAAATAAACATTACAATCCTCTTCAGAAATTACTATCTAAGCATGCAAAGAAACACCATTATCTTATGATTACCTACATTAAAACCTTAATTATTAAATGAGATAACGTAATAAAGTAAAAGTTAATCTTCTTTGTATAAGAGAAATGAGCTATTTAGGATACCAAAAAGTAAAAAACCCACAAATTTAATATAATTAAGTTAGCATTTGGGAAAGGATGATTGTAAACTATACAAAGCAAATGATATATCCAAATAATTATAACAAAATCAAACATTGTATTAAATATTGTTTCCGCGAAGCAATTTTTCTGTTTCTACTCTCAATTTTTCTGTTTTCTTTTCAAAACTATCTAAATATTATAAAAAATGCATGGTGTCTTTTTACTAGTCTTCACTTTCTTCTGTTTTCTCATCTATCTATTCAAGTATGTAAGGTTGGTTGAGCTCTTGAAGATAGGCAAAGAATTAATCTTGTTATTCCTTTAACAATATTGCCTAATTTAAAATCAAATTTGAATTATACTTCTTGATCAGTCCTTCTCTCTAAATATTGTCTGCAATCAATTAGTAATTTTAGCATTTTTTCTTATAAATTTGGACATTCAGCAGATTATTGTTATGGCTATTATTGCTCAAAATAAGGTGTGTCTTTTTTAGACATTTAAGGGCGTGTATTTTCTTTCTAATCACTTAAAACTAGATATCTATTTAATTTAGGTAAGGGACCTTCAGGAGGTCTTTTATCAAAAGGTTCTGAAAGTGTTCCCTTTGAGACTTGATTTAATAAGATGCGAGCATATAAATTTCGATTCTTTTTCCAAACTTCATTTGTAGTCACTTGACATAATTTCTTAGTCCAAGCTTCAACCCTAATTTTTTAATGCTTATTCAGATTTTAATAGGTTTCCTCTATTGCAAGCATCACTTTAATAAATTCCTCGTCCATAATGTCTGTTAATATATTTTATTATATTCAATATCATTCCAAATTTAATCAATATATTCAGAATAATATTCAAATAGTTTTGACTTAAGTTGCATTTAAACATTAATAAATAAGCTAAATTATTGAAAACCTATAAAATAAATATAAATCGCATTTCATTTTTTTATGAATTCTATTTGTATCATTTAATTACAATAACCCAAAAAGTCCGAATTAAAATTCTTAAATTGCTTTTGTTGATCTACTGTTTGAAATTCCAAAGAAATATATACTAAATGATATTCCATGTTTGACTTTTTACAAAATATCCTACAACTGAATGATAGAGACGATCATAAATAAAATCTGCGACTAGCATCTCTCCATTTGAATATGTATTTTTACTGCATATAATTAAATTTATAAAAATGTAATTCATTTTCTCTTTGCAAATTCCTACAACGCCTCCCTTCTTGTGACAGGGTTTTCTCTATCATAATCTGTATTGAAGTGCTCCTCGGCTTCATCATAAGTTTGAACCTCATCTTTCTATTCTAAAGGAAATAGAACATTCGAGATTTCTTCCATTGGGAGAATATTATAAACAACTCCAATTATTATTATAATAAAATCTTACCATTTGACTTCTCCAAATATTATACTGGATACTACTGTATTACCAATACCAGTAAATATGATGATTAATTCCAACATTTCAATCATTTCAATAGATAAATGTTTGGAAAGAGATTCTTTAATAGTTCTTCTTCGAAGTACGTTGTATTTATCTACAAAATAGTATAATGTCAATCCCATAATACTGAATAATATGCCAACTGGAATGATATCTCCATAAAAGAAGGTGAACCACATAGTTTTCATAATGTCACCATATCTTTTAGCTTAGGAGTAATCAGGCATCTCCATAATTTCATTTGCTTCTTATTAAGTGAGTACACAATTCTTAGCATTTTTTTATTGTTTTTACCTTTGATAATCCTTTTAAATGCTCCATGGATCAACAAACCAAACTATGGGTGGAATAAATGCATTTAATAGGAATACATTAGATTCATTATAAATAAATCCCCCCTTTCCTATTACATTTCCAGTCAAATAAAAATCTATCACTAAGGATATTAAAGCGGTATTTATAAATAATGCAACTGATTGTTTCCTAGCAAAACTAATATTGAATTTAGTTTTGTTTGATATTTTTTCTAAATCAACAATCAAATGATACACTTTTCCGATTACGAATTTATTGAAAAACACTACTGTCCACGAAATAGACTAACTAGTCAAGAAGGCTATAGTTTAGGTTAACGAGTCCTTGATTCCTTTCTTTTCTTATTCTTCAACTTATTCATTCATTCTTTCAGCCAATTCACTAAGGAACCAAATCAAAAAGAAACAACCTGTCATAAAACTTATAGAGATAGACCATGCAATAATACGCGCTTTCACTTTTTATCCTGTTTAGATGTGTATAAATTCCCAATCTACATCATTAGGTTCTGGAGCTTCTTCAACATACAATTTGTGTTCATTCAATATTAACCCTTTTTCCTTGATATCAGCTGTTTTGCCTTAATTAAAGAATGCTTTCATTCTTTCCCAACTAGTATGAGTGTTGTGTTGCAATACCATTTATTTCATTTCCTCAGTTTAGAAACTTATGAAGGCAATTCCTGCAAATTTTTCCTTATTTACAAACAATTCATGCTCAACTTAATGAATCTTATGTTCTAAAGATTCTAGTTTTTCATCCAGTTATTTGACTTTGAAATCTGCGAAATTCATGCCATTTTCTACTAAGTATTCTTACTTTTCTCTTACCAATTCTTTCAGTGATTCTTCCAATTCTATTATTTCATCTAAATTATAAACCAAGACGATTTTCATGACTTTTAATTCTCTGCCATCTGCAGCATAATTTTAGAATATGTTCTTCAATACTTCTCTGTAATCTTCATCCAATTTTGGGATGTTTTTCACACAAATCGTATAATCAGATGGAGTCAATTAGGATTCATCAACTTCGATATCAATGCTTCTTTGGGCTTTCCTAAAAAATAAAAATGAAACCATGTTTGCCAATACTACAACTAATGATAAATTGGATTACCAATCTCTAATATCCTGTCTATCATATACATTGGCTAAACTAACAAAATGCCACATGGATCCTCCACAAATTGAATTATCTTTCTTATGTAAATGATGCTCCAATTTTTAATTGGTAATTTAATGATGTTTCAAATGATTCCCTTCCAATTTTCCTTGATTATAACAATAATCTCCCATTAGATCGGTAGCTAAACAAAACATTCCTTTCAATAGCCAAAATTCAACCAAAATGAAGATACAATATTTAATGAACATGTAAAACAAAGGAAATCCTGATCCTAAAAATTTCATCTCTATGGGATCGCAATCATACTATAAATCCATTCTTTCAACTGAATATCCACAACAAGGACATGTTGTCTAATCATCTACCTCCAATTCCTAAGCCACTCTCCTTGCTTTTGCATGTTTCTCTGCAAATTACCAATCACAAGGAATTGCTAAAGGATTATAATGATTCTATTCATGAGATTTATGATGTAATTTTGGAACATTTTTTTCACTTTTACTTGGTTAATGTTCTGATAAAGCCCTACTAGCTGCTTAAGAATCACGCTATTAAAATGAATTTTAAATGAAACGACTAGCCATTTCAAAAATTAAAATATTAATAGTGCATATTTAAGTTCATTAAACTTGATTATATTCTATAAAATACTAATTTTAAGTGATATTCATGTACTTTAAATATTAATTAAATAACATTCAATAAAGAACCGTCTTTTTGGAACTTCTAAATAGGAACCAAAAAATAATAACCACCTCCTCCCTAAAATCCCTAATAACCTAAGGTAATAGACTTGTCGGAGCAATAAAAAAGAGTAAGCTTCATTATTAATGAAGTCTGAAGCTAAAGTTAATGAATTGAAAGAATAGATATAAGAATTAGATAAACAAATATGTGAACAATATTAAAAAGCTAAAACCTTTAGGGAAGTACAGCAAACTACAGCTAAGTCAAGAGCAGTAATGCTTCTCAAGAGAAAAAAGATGTACCTACTTTACTTAAGATTAGGTTGGAACAATAATTAGGATAAATTCTCAATAATTAGATGACCTTAGATTAAGTAGCTTTCACTAAAAGAGAACATTTAAAATAAAATTCAAATGGTATCTAATTTCATTTATATATAAGGCTTAAGCAATGTAGCAAGTTGTAGCAGTTCAAAAAGAAGCATTCAAAGAAATTGATATGGACAAACTGGAGGGTATTATGCTTCCTTAATATCAATAGACCTCATGGATGATATGAAGTTTGAAACAGACTACATGAATGATGTGATGAATAGATATTATGCATGCGATATAAGGTGAATGTGAGTTAGATATAGAAATGGCAGAAATTGAAAATGATATGAATGTCAAGCCATTTCAGCCTCAGCAATTATAGCAGCAAGCTCCTAGATAAGTTTTACATTTAAATTATAATATAGAATTATATAAACTATCTGCAAGCCTTTAACACTTACACCAATTGATTCCTATTAAATATAATAATATTATAAAATTGATATAATCAATCACCTTTAATAAATTATAACTTTAACTATGTTTAACTAATAGTTTTAATACATGAAATTAGCGGTATAAACTTTCACTGAATAATTTTATCTTAAATTCATATTATAAAAATTAAGAGTTTAATTAAGAAATAATCTAATTATGATTATAAATTGTCTATACACATAACTCAATTTTCATAATTCTATTTACAAATTAAAGGTAAAATAAATTTTTCTTCCTATTTTCTTGATTAATTTTCACAATTATAGTTTCGCCCTTATGAAATTTCATTATAGCGTTGTTCTTTTGATGTTGTTTCCAAATCTGAGAATGGGATGGTAATGTGTAAATTATCCTAAAGCACTCCTTAAACCCATTTATGCTTCTATACATCTTATAATTTGATTCTATTTTCGTGATTTGGATTTAATAACTCTCTGATCAAAGTTACTAACTCAAAACTTACTTGTCTAGGAAATTTGTATGTTCCTTAACTTATCATTATGAATATCTCTGCATTATTTTTCCCGTAAAAAGGATACTCTCCAAAAATTAAATAATACAAAAGAATTCCTAATGCCCAAATGTCCAGACAAAAGTTAATTTTTTTGAGCTTTCCTGATAATATTTCAGGAGCTATATAAAGAATGGTTCCAACATTCAAAGGCTCATCAAATGGTACACCAGTACCTGACAAATAGGCTAAGCCAAAATCTATAATTTTAATCTACTTTAAATATTTAAATATTTACTTAAAAATTATTATTATCAATAAAAATAATGTTTTCCAATTTTAGATCTCTATGAATGACATTGTTTTTATGCATATATGATACTGCATCTAAAATCTAAATGAATAAATGCCTGGCTATTTTTTCATTTAATGGTCCGTTTTCTAATATTAATCATTATATATACATAAGACAAAATCTAATAAGGTTTCTCCTTTTAAATATTCCATTTCTAAGACTGCTTCTGATTTTTCAGGGAATAATTTATACCCATACAAGTTCACTATGTTTTTATGTTTTAACAGTTCTAAAATCACAGCCTCTCTTGCTATGTATAAATATTAATTTTTTTATTCCTCACTAATAAACTTAATTATTTTCTCTTCATTAGTAACTTTATGTTGAATAAGCATAATTGTTGCTTAACCTCCTTTACAAATAAGAGTCACAGGTAGGTGCTCAAAAAGTATGTATTTACTATCTGGCTTTTTGCCATTAGTTGTTACGAATATCTTACCATTATATTTCAAATATTTTAAATCTTCTTCAAAAATTTCTTAACATTTATGATCAAAAAGTCTAACCTTTTATGACGACTTTGTTCCCCCAACTAACTTAATAAGTTTACTCATGGAAGATGCTTGAGTAAAAGTAACATGTATAGGGTTTTATTATTGTTAGTATATAGTTAAATGAGAATCGCTGCAGAGTGAAGGAAAAGAATTGGATGGTAAATAATTTTTCATTGCGTAATTAAATAAAAATAATCATTTATTTTAAATTTTAATTCATTTACATATAATAATATGTTAATTTAATATTATTTTATTTTTATATTAATTTAATTGTTTATTAAATCTCTCATTCTTAGTGGATGCTATATTTATCAAATTTTATTATAGTGATGAATAATTGAAAATTACAATTTGTTAATTTATAAAAGAATTCTATTATGTTTAGATTGGAAAGTAGGTTTTTAAAGGCATTCAATAGTTTACTTAATTCATTATTATTTTCATTGAACAAATAAGTAATATATAATTACTTAATAATTAAGTTTATCGATTTCTAGTGAAACAAAACAGTTTGCTTTAGTAAAGATAGGGGTTGGGGCGCTGTTCATTCACTTCTTAAATAAACCATTTATAATTGGAATTTTCCCAATTTAAGTTTTTGATTTATTTGATAAATTGCAATAGATTATTTAAATTATATTTTAAGAAAATCAATATGATAATTACTCTTTTTATTGTATTTTTTTAGATGGCAAATTCTTAGTAAGGCGATGTTGTGTTTTATTGTGATAAAGATGTAGTGTTGAAAAATAAAGAAAATTAAATTCCTATTATTTTAGATTAAAATTCTCCAAATAATTTTACTTTTCGAGATTAACCTAAATATTTGCAATTTTTAGATGCTTTTAAAATAAATCTCAAAAATGTTATATATTCATCATTTGTACTTGGGCGGTGGAAAGGTCGTGACG